TGTTTTGAAACAGACAGGGCTGCAGAGAGAGATGCTGTCTTGAAAAAAAAAAGTAAATCAGTGTCTCGGTACTGCAGATTTGCTGTTCTGAAAATAACAATAGAAACTTTCAAAATGGAACAGAGGAAAGAAAATTCGGAGCAAGAGGACAAGGACACCTCTCTTGGACAACATGAACCTAGAGTCTCCAAATCAGAGGGGCGGGTCAGCTGGTGGCATGCTTGCCTAGCATACACGAAGCCCTGGATTCACATTCCACCATCAGCACCACGGGAAACCAGACCTGGTGGAGTGGGTGTGTGGTGTAAGCCTATCAGCACTCAGGAGGCAGAGGCAGGCAGATCTCGGTGAGTTCAAGACCACCCTGGTCTACAGAGTGAGTTCCAGGACAGCCAGGGTTACACAGAGAAACCCTGTCTCAAAAAACAAAACAAACCGTGGTGGCTCACACCTGTAACCCAGGCCCACAGATGAAGGTAAGAGACTCATCAGTTCACTTCATTCTTGACCACATACTGAGTTCCAAGTCCATCTGGGCTACATGAGATCTTGACCACATAAAATTAAAAAGGCAAAATTAGCATGTATTACGAATTTCTAACATCAGTAGAGGAGAGCATCTGACAAAGTAACCAGGGTTATATAGTGCACTCTCACGAGGGTCCCATGCATGAAAAACTAACAGCTGTCAGAACTGCGTTGTGACAAAGCGTACACCGTAAACACTGAAGCAGCCACCAGAGACACCGTCAGAAGTCACCACATCCCTGTGGTCCCAGCACTCTGGAGGATCAGGAAGTTCAAAGGCATCCTACACCTCATAGCCCAGCAAGCGTGAGATACATGTCTTTATAAGAACAAAAAAAAGGCCACCGGATAGAATTTTGAGAATTGTCCCTCCCAGACAGACAAACAAGGAAAGAGAAAGCAAGCCTGGGTGAGAGAGGGAATGTGGCGGAGACACCAAGATAGTACGCTTACCCTCAACCATGTCGGTAATCGGAGTGACCATTGTTTCCATCCTCGAGGCTTTAAGACCGCCTGTTAGATCAAAAGTTAGTGCCCAGTGGCCACCCCTGTGCTCCCCAAGCAGTGTGCCTGTGCTGCAGCTAGACTGCCCTCCACAGTGTTGTTTTCACCCTGTACAGAGCCTTCTCACACAGCGGAGACAGTGTCCTTGTTCTGTGGACAAGAGCACCAGGAGCCCAGAAAGGCTTGGTGGCCACCCAAGTACATGGACACTTAATGGTAGCGCCTGTAGTTGAGTTATGCATGGCATTGTTTTCTTTATCAGCTATTCACAATTAAGTATATTTCTTTGGTTGTGATTATGATCATGTTTGTGGTTTTAATATTTGTACAAATATTTGGCATGGCTGTCTCATTCCCCAAATTAGACTTTTAACTACCAGTAAATATCTTTAATTGTTAGCCCGATTCTTTTTTTTTTTTGTTTTGTTTTGTTTTGTTTTTCGAGACAGGGTTTCTCTGTGTAGTTTTTGCGCCTGCCCTGGATCTTGTTCTGTAGACCAGGCTGACCTCGAACTCACAGAGATTCGCCTGGCTCTGCCTCCCCAGTGCTGGGATTCAAGGCGTGCGCCACGGCCTCCCGGTTAGCTCAATTCTTAAAGAACATCGTAGTTAAAGGCAGGCCTATTGGTGCATGCCTGTATTCCAGCACTTAGAGGAGATGAAGCAGTTCAGGGCCAGTCTAGGTAACATGAAACCCTAAAAATGAGGGGAAAAAGAGAAAACATTCTAGATACATAGGCAAATGGAGTTAAGACTCAGTTAAGAAACTTAGTGTCCCCAGGCGGTGGTGGCGCACGCCTTTAATCCCAGCACTCGGGAGGCAGAGCCAGGCAGATCTCTGAGTTCGAGGCCAGCCTGGGCTACAGAGCCAGTTCCAGGAAAGGCACAAAGCTGCAAAGAAACCCTGCCTCGGAAAAACCAAAAGAAAAAAAAGAAACTTAGTGTCAGGGCTGGAGGGATGGCTCAGCAGTTAGGAGCACTTGTTGCTCTTGCAGAGGACCTGGGTTTGGTTCCCAGCACCCACACATGGCTCACAGCTGTAACAGAAGGCTGTGTGTACTGCTCTGAGCGTGGCTAATGGCTTCTGTAAGTGGACGTCTGGGAGAAACATTACATGAAGGAAACGCCGATCCCAGCACAGAGTCTTGTAGACAGAGTACTGGCCTTCCCACGGGGAAACTGGCTGGTGTAGTCAGCCTGCCACCAAGTCACTGGCTGGTCTGCCACCAACAGATTTGGCACTCGGCAGCAGCCATAGCTAGGGCAGCCTTGGGGAGCAGAGGACACGGGAAAGGACTATAAAGCAAAGGAAGTCAAGCGGCCTTGGGAGTTGAAAAGCACAAGGAAGTACTCAGTTCTCTGAATCCCTCAGAAGGAACAAGCAGTGCCAGTGTCTTGATTTTATGCTTCGTCCCTCCAGAACTGTCAGAAAAGAACAGTGCTCCTTCAGCTTCTGTGTTGGTGGTCCTGTGCTCCGGCCACCGTGCCCCATGTTGTGGTCCTTTGTTGCAGCAGCAATAGGAAGCTAATAGCAAGCACATATTGATACTTGGTTCTACAAAAACGTTTTTACCAAGCGCTTTCTGCATGATAGGCACAGAAACATTCATGGTCATCAGGCTTCCGAATTTAAAATCTCTGTACCTCCCTAAAGCTGTTGGAGAGCTAGATCAGCCACTGCCTTTGATTTTGATGGACAGACAAGTCAGTGAGAATGCTTTCTGTTGCCAGCGATGGCGGGGAAGGGGTGGGGGGGACTTCACTGCCTCCAGTATCTGAAAAGTACAGAGGTTGGGAAACTATCTAGGCTCTCCTGCTCTTCTGTTTCTTGCTGCTGTTCTCATCCCCTTGTCAGAATTGTCCTTGGACTCCTGTCCTCATCTCAAGATGGCTGCTAAGAGTATACTCTGACTGGACTAAAAAGACCAGGAAGAAGTCTGTGCACTAATTGGTCAGTCTCAGCCACACCACCTGCTGCTTCACTCAAGGCAAGAGGCATTATTCCACTCAGAAAATCTGGGTGTATCAGGCAGGGGAAAGGTGGTCCATCAGTATTAAAGTCTGTTACAGCCAACAAAACAGTACATTACAGCTGGAGATTAAGAGAGAACAGTGATTAAGAGCACTTCACTATTCTTGCAGAGCAGCTGGGTTCAGCTGCCAGCACCCAGGCAGTGACTCCAGTCCCAGGGGTTCCAACACTACCTTCTGGCCTCAATGGGTACCTGTACACACGCTCAAACACACATGCAGACACATGAATCTACACATAAATCATTGTCAGAAGTTCTAAGTTTACCACATGCAATCTCCTTGTATCTTCTCCTTTTGGGAACTTGAGGCGGATTGTTGCCCAGGAGCCATCTGGTGACCTAATCTGCCAGCCTGTAAGGCCCACTTCCATGCCTGTAATGATTATTCTGATGTCTGTAACTGAGTAATGATTATTCTGATGTCTGTAACTGAGGTGAATAGTTACCAAGATAAAGACATGACGTGTGTGATGTTTAGAGGCTAAAACCTTCCAACCAGGGCCGCAGTGGTGAGAACACCAAATCCTAACCACTGGACCACCAGGGGCCAAACAGGATCTATAAACTATATGAAATGATCACATCTGTGAAACCAAACATAATTATAAGCAGTGTTAATTGAACAAGGGAGAAACGTTTAAAGAATTATAGTAACCCAGTTTTAGATGTTCAGTACATAGCAGCATCCACTTTCCTAGGTATGGATGTAAACTCTGATTTCACACAAACTATGTTTCCACTTCTGTGTGACTTCCGCAGCTAAAAATATGCTGTAAGCCTCTGAAAAGGTATCTGCTCAAGGAAATGCATGCTGAAACAATGAGCTCTTGTTCTTTGCCTCTCGGATTGACAAAAGTTAAAAAGGGATTAGAGAGCTCGGGGTGAAAGTACTGCTGCCTAGCGTTCTGCCAGTAGAGTGAGTCAGTCAGCAAGGCTTTGCCATTCGGTGACCCCTGTTGAGAGTTAACATGGGCGTGCCCTCTGACTTTGCAGTTCCCGTTCCGACATGTAATTAGAGAAACTATTACACGTTTAAGAGCGTGCACACGCTGGGTGGTGGCGCACACCTTTAATCCCAGCACTCCGGAGGCAGAGGCAGGCGGATCTCTGTGAGGTTCCAGGACAGGCTCCAAAGCTACACAGAAACCCTGTCTTGGGGGTCGGGGGAGCGGGGAGACTCTGCACTCACTGGGCCTACTTGTGTGTGCCCTTAATCCTAGCACTTGGGAGTGAAGGCCAGCCTGGTCTACACAGTGAGCTCCTGACTTTCAGCACCATGTCAGTGCCTGTCTCAAAAAAATAAAACTGTACTCATTTGCTGAGGCATTGTGTGAAATAGCTAAAAAGTGGTACTAAGACAACTGTTTCTCCAAATGAGAATTGGTGTTTTAAGGCTTGCTAGGATAAAGGTGCTTGCCACCAAGCCCATTGATCTGAGCCCAGTTCCCAGGACCCACAGGCTAGAAGGAGACTGACCACCACAGCAAGCCATGGCAGGCATGTGTGATCATACACACACTCACAAATAAGTAGTTGTTTCTTAAGTTTTAGGGAATAAATGAAGAAAAGGGAATTGTTTCCTAAAAATGCATAGGTATCTGTAATTTTACTGTGAAAACTACTGGAAATGGTTTCAGGCAGTATTTTTCCTGAAAGAAATGTAGTAGTTTGCTTTCGTGTGTGTGTGTGTGTGTGTGTGTGTGTGTGTGTGTGTGTGTGTGTGTGTGTTATTTTCAACCCTGGGGTCCCAGGTGCTGGTTACGTGTGGCTGGCGTTGGACTTGGGTCCTCACGCATGTGCAGTGAGTGACTGCTTACCCACTGAGCCATCTCCCAGCCTGTTGGTGTTTTACACTATCAATGGAAAGCTTAGCTATCCTAATCAAATACAATTTGAATATCTTTCTGTTAAAAAACGGTTACTACTTTCTTGCAGAATGGAAACAGACTATAACCCCGTGGAGCTGGGCAGTATGTCTGGGTTTGAGGAAGGCTCCGAGCTCAATGGGTTCGAAGGAACGGATATGAAGGACATGCGGCTAGAGGCTGAGGCTGTCGTAAATGATGTTCTCTTCGCTGTCAACAGCATGTTTGTCTCAAAAAGCCTGCGCTGTGCAGATGATGTGGCTTACATCAACGTGGAGACAAAGGAGAGGAACCAATACTGCCTAGAGCTCACAGAAGCAGGGCTCAGGGTAACTCACTTTTATCATTAGAAGAAGGAAAAAGCATGTATCTTTACCACTTTACCAGAAAGGATAGAGAAGGACATTATCTAAAAACAGGTCATGGGAATCTTCAAAAAAAACTTAAACGTTTTCCCCCAAATTTTGGTTAATTTAATTTGGTTAAAGTTTGGTTAATTTGACCAAATTTTGTTGGTCAAAATTTTAATCAACATAGAACAGTTGAATTTGAGAGGGTAAATAATTTCCAGAGTTGATTCAGTTGCTTGGATTATTACCACCAAACTGATTTCTTTCCTTCCTATAGCTAACAACTGCAGCTCCCGAAATGGGCTCTCTGTACTGGGTGCATTTGTATTAAGAAAAAGAAGAAGAAAAAAAAAACAAAAAACAGCCAGGCAAATTTTTGAAGGCACTTAGATGCTGGGTGTGGTGGCACACACCTTTAATCCCAGCACTCAGGAGGCAGAGGCAGGTGGATCTCTGAGCTCAAGGCCAGCCTGGGCTACAGAGTGAGATCCTGCCTCAAGAAAGGAAGGAAGGAAGAGGAACAAAGAAAGAGGGGGAGAGAAGGAGAAAAGGAAAGAAGACAGACAGACAGACAGACTTAGTGGTAGAGCCCTTGCCTAACATATATGTGACCCTGGGTTCAGTTCTCAGCAGCAGGCTGCACTGGGGAGGCTTTGTCACCAATGTCTGTATTGCAAGCTGGTCCTTTGGTGTGGTAGATCTTCCGTGTGTATGGGATCCAGGAAGGGCTTATGCTGGAGAGAGAGCACTGCGGTTAGGAATGCATGCTTCTCTTGCACCAGTTTAATCCCCACATGTCCGGCAGCTCACAGCTGCCTGTGACTGCAGCTCCAGGAGGCCCAGTGCTCTCTTCTGGCCGCCATGGGACATCTGCACTCGGGTAAACACGGGCACACATAGACATGGTTTAAAATAAAAATAAAGGTTAAAATCATTTTGAGATATGAAAAGTCAAGTGTTACTTTCAAGATTTCTAACTCTTTAAAGGAGCAAAAGTGAGCAAACCCAACCTCTTACAGAGTTTGGAGGAAGCATGTTTCAGGTAGTGGTCTTGGCTGTATAATTTACTTACAGAGATTGCTCCCAGCTGCTCTGAAATGCATGTCTTCTGCTGAGAAACAGGGTCACTACAGAATGAGCCATTCAGTAGCAGGCTGGAAGCTGATGACCACTCACTGCTGCCCTTCTCTCGTAGGTGGTGGGCTATGCTTTTGACCAGGTGGAAGATCATTTGCAGACCCCTTACCACGAGACAGTCTACTCCTTGTTGGATACGCTCAGCCCTGCCTACCGGGAAGCATTTGGAAATGCACTCCTTCAGAGACTGGAAGCTTTGAAAAGGGATGGGCAGTCATGACTCATTTTCCTCATAGTGGGGCTACCGCTGGCATAGAATGCTAACATAAGACTTGACATCCTTGCATATAATCATTGTAGAAAGTGCATCGTTGGCTTTATGTGTTTATCATTCACATGTAGGCTTTTGACTCAGAACATAATTAACTCATAAACTGTCTTAGCTCCAGATTCATTCAAGGAAATTTCAAGGCCATTACTCTGACACTATCATTAAGTTCTGATTTCTTCACACAGCCTCTCTACATCTCAATACCTAATCAGCGTTTCATTCTCTTACGACAGGGCTTCAATGCTGCCAGCACTCTCTTTTACATAGAAAATTCTAGATTTGCACAGTGATATAGAAATTAGAATCACCTAGCTTCAGACCTGGATTCAGCCTGCTAAATCAGGGGTTTACTACTAGCTTGGACTGACTTAGTAGTGGTTATTTTGACTGGCCTTATTGGGAACAAACTGTCAACTAGTTTCCCCTGCACAGACTGGAAATTTACTGGTCTACTTACATTACCCAGTGGACTGATGGAGGTGAATTGCTTCTATGTTACTTAACTAGGATGAAAGGAAAGGCAGGGACAGAAATAGTTCTTATTCCTTGTTCGCAACAGCCAGCCATCCTAGAGAGGACAGACCGTTAGCAAATGAATGTAACAATTACTCATTTCCAAGAGATCTAAGCACATGAGCAAATAGAGGAACAGGCACCACCGCATCCTCAGCGTGTATCATTTCAAAGGAAAAAGATCCTGGTTTCCTGGGAAACGATATTTTGGCCTGTGTTGATTCTTATTCTGAATGTTTGTTTACAATGTACAGTATATATATATATATTCAGAAAGTATTTTTGCTTCAACGCTTACTTTCTATAAAGTAGTGCTTTGGTATTCCTACAGCACCCTCCTTACCCTGCAGTCGGACAGTGTTCTGTCTCATTGCCACATGTACAGTGTAATATGAGTGCATTGTATGGTTTGAAACCAAAGGATGAATGAAGCATTCAGAAACTTGATATTTAAAAAAGAGATGCTCTGTATTTTATATTTTATTACAGTCCCTGGTGTTTATAAACTTAATAAAACACTTCATGCTGCTGCATGTTTTCCAGTATGTGATGAACAGAAAGGACCTGGGCGTTGTTTTTAATTGTCACCCAAAGCAGCTGCTTCAGAGATGTTGATCGGCCATCTGCAGCTGGGTACACTTTCCATACGTTTGTCATAGCAGATCTTTTCAAATGGGCATTTTTAGCCTCTGAGGATCATGTGAGGAAAGGCGAGGGGTAGAGCACTTGCCTGTCATGGGTAAGCCTTGGGTTCAATCCTGAGGATTAAAAGAGTTTTCAGAACCCAGAATGATCATGTGGACCAGGACAGTTAGAGTCCGCCTGCATTGCTGATACAGGCAGAGATCACCAGGTGCTTGAGCCTGGCTTTATGAGGCACTCATTCTGACATGATGTTTGGGCAATAAAGCCCAACTTCAGGTCCAACTTCTTCATGCTTAATCTCAGGCTAATATAAGAAAATGATGTTTGTAGAGTTTGAATAAAATTGTTTACTTGCTTTTGAGTTGAATATAAAGTGATCGTGTTTAAAATTTGAAATTGTTCATTTTGTGATAAATGACTGATTCCAAGACCCGTGCCCACATTTTTTTAGTTAATCCATGTTATACTTTGAGTTGAAGTGAATGAAGGGCGTTGTTCTTTCCTTTACTCAGAATAAAGGAAGTCAGTAAAATTACACACTAATGCAAGCAACCAGCAGACTGCCATCCTAAACTAAGCCAGTTTTTTGTTTGTTTGTTTGTTTGTTTGTTTTACATAAAAAGTATTTGCAGGGGAGCAGGAATTTAATCAAGCCAAATCCCATGTCATCATCTGACACCTCGGACTCCTCCTTCTTCTCGTCTTTCTCCTCTGCTGCAGCAGGGGCAGAACCAGCAGCAGGAGCTGCAGAGCCAGGGGCAGCAGCAACAGCCCCAGCCCCACCAGCAGACGACCTTGCTGAGCCAGTCATCCTCCGCCTCGATGCCCACGCTGTCTAGTATCTTCTTAATGTCTTTCGTGCTGGGAGAGGAGTTGCCCCCAAGGGTGGCAAGCAAATAAGAGGCCACGTAGCGCATGTCGGCTGCTGCGGACAGGCCTCACGCATGCAACCTCGGCGTCGGGCAGCGCAAGTCAACTAAGCCAGTTTTAAAATTAAGCCTCGATTTTACTACGAAAGAAAACAAAAATCCAGCTAGCCGATGGTGGCACGCCCTTAATCCCAGCACTCGGGAGGCAGAGGCAGGTGGATCTCTGTGAGTCCAAGGCCAGCCTGGTCTGGGCATGGTGGCACACATCATCCAAGCACTAGGGAGTTGAAGTCAGGAGTGCTTAGAGTCCAAGGTCATCCTCAGCTACATAGGGAAGTGGAGGTCAGCCTAGGCTACAGGAGACACCCAAAATAAACAGTGCGCAAATGATTTTGGACAACTCGAGGGGGAAAAAAAAAGATGTTCAGTGACACTTAAAAGGGGTTCAAGCCGGGCGGTGGTGGCGCACGCCTTTAATCCCAGCACTCGGGAGGCAGAGCCAGGCGGATCTCTGTGAGTTCGAGGCCAGCCTGGTCTACAGGGTGAGTTCCAGGACAGGCACCAAAACTACACAGAGAAACCCTGTCTGGAAAAAAAAGGGGGGGGGGGTTTCCAAATGAGGGGAAGGGGCAGAAATAAAAACTAAAGAAGTTTGACTCAGCTGATAACACGAGAAAGGAAATTTTAAAATAGGTGGACCATGGCAGGCAAGAAGGCTCATGAACTAAAGGTGTTGCCTCCCAACCTGACAGTCGGGGTTGGCGCTCTGTGACTCACGGTGGAAGAAGACCCTACTCCCACAGCTGACCTCCACGAGTGCTCTGATGTGTGCATGTGCACACACAAAAAAAAATTTTTTAAAGAATTTTGGTTTGGTTTGGTTTGGTTTGGTTTTTTCAAAGCAGGGATTCTCTAGCCCCAGCTGTCATGGAACTCTCTCTAGACCAGGCTGGCCTTGAACTGAAAGATCTGCCTGCCTCTGCCTCTCAAGTGCTGTGATTAAAGGCATGAGCCACCACTACCCAGCTAAAAAGAGTAATAATACCATTTCACCAAGTAATTTTGTAGTTCTTTTTGTGTGTGTGTTTTGTTTGTTTTTTGTTTTTCAAGATGGGGCTTCTCCGTGCAGCCCTGACTGTCCTGGAACTCATTCTGTAGCCCAGCCTACAGCCCAACTCCCAAGAGGATTACAAATTCAAGGGCAACTCGGAGAAATTTGGGAGGTGCTTTTCACAAAATAAGTATAAAGTCTGGCTGGTTGGGGCTGGAGGGATGGCTCAGTGGTTAAGAGCACTGGCTGCTCTTCCAGAGGACCCAGGTTCAATTCCCAGCACCCACATGGCAGCTCACAACTGTCTGTAACTCCAGTTCCAGAGGCTCTGACATCTTCACACCAATGCACATAAAGTAAATTTTAAAAAAAAATGGCAAGATGGTTCTGGGGTAAAGTCACTTAGCACCAACCCTGACAACCTGAGTTCAATCCATGGGCCCCACACTTATGGAAGGAGAGAACCAACTCCACCAAGTTGTCCTCTGACAATCCCACACAATGTACTGTGGCATGTTCACACCCACATACAATAAGCAAATGTAATTTTTAAAACAGGACATAGGGGAAATGAGTCAACAAAGGATACGCTGCAAAGATTGATTTCCCTCTAATGAAAAGTTGGCCAAGCTCAGAAGAATGATAAATTACGCTGTGTCCTTTTTGTTTTTGTTTTTGTTTTGGTTTGAGACAGGGTTTCTCTGTGTAGCTTTGGAGCCTGTCCTGGATCTCACTTTGTAGACCAGGCTGGACTCGAACTCACAAAGATTCGCCTGGCTCTGCCTCCCGAGTGCTGGGATTAAAGGCATGCGCCACCACCACCCGGCCGTTTTTTGTTTTTTGTTTTTTAATATGCTGTGTCCTTTTGATGGGAGATACGCAATGTTTAAAACTGAGGAAGAATGACATGAGGGGAGGGCCGGGATCATGCTACATAAAATCATAGGCTATAAAATGTACTATATTAGATATATATGCACAAAATAAACATTAAAATATTAATCACTAGGTAGTAAGATAGGCAGTCCTCATGCTATACTCTCACATATTCAGTATTTCCTTCGATGCAAGTGGGGGATTCAGGCCAGGGGGAATTCAGGCCTGGAGTTGGAGCTCAGGTGGAGCTCATACTTAGCAAGCACGAGATCCCTGCATTGAAACTTAGCATACAGAAAAGGGATGGGTAATGGATGTGGGGTGTCCAGTGGCTGCAAAGTTTGCACTGGTCTGTCTGCTCCTAGTGTGTGCATGAAGAGGGCACAGACCTCCTTTCCCATAAGGACACACCCACCTTGCCTCTAGCCCCGTTGGGCTCAAGTGTTAGGGCACCGTGCTCCCTCTAGTGTTCAGGAGTAAAACCTGCTGCTTCATTCACATTAGGGGAACAGAAGAGAAAACAACAGGCATTTGGAAATGGGCCACAATGACTTCAGAACTTTCCCTTCAAGCTTCCTTATTTAGGTGTGGCATTGCTGAGGCTCACACAGATGAGGAACTTGCTTAGCCACCCACGTATGAACGATGGCATTGGGGCAGAACCCCAAGTCTTCGGGCACTTTCCAGCACATAATAAAAGGCACCTCTTACACTTGGTAGTTACATGCAGAGGAAAAGACTAAAGGAATAATACAATAATTGCGATAATAAAATCAATAGGCTCGGGAGCTGGAGATACGGCTTATTGGTCAAGAGCACGGCTGCTCTTGCAGAGGACCTGAGTGTGATTCCTAACACCCACACTGTGGCTCACAACCATCTGTGACTCCAGTTCCAAGGGATCTAAAGTTCTTTTTTGCCTCTCATAGCACCAGGCACACACGCATGTGGTGCAGAGACATTCATGCAGGCAAACACTCATATAAAACAAAAACAAATATTGTTTAAATTTCTATATATGCATACATATTTATATATAACAAGTTAATATTTAAAACTATGTCATGGGCTGGAGAGATGGCTCAGAGGTTAAGAGCACTGGCTGCTCTTCCAGAGGTTCTAAGTTCAATTCCCAGCAACCACATGGTGGCTCACAACCATCTATAATGAGATCTGGTGCCCTCTTCTGGCCTGCAGGCATACATGTAGGCAGAACACTGTATACATAATAAATAAATAAATTTAAAAAAAAATAATAAAATAAAACTATTTCAATACAATCAGACTAACGTAACAGGCAGCTTATAGTCATAGCCCACCACAACCTTTGAAAATCAGTAAGAGCCGGGTGAACCCTGTCTCGAAAAACAAAACAAAAAATCAGTAAGAAAACACACATTATTGTTTATTACATTAACTTATTTGTGGGGGGGACAGAGGATAGCTTGTTGGAGCCCATTCTCGTTGGACAGAGGGATGGAACTCATGTTTGATGGCAGGCTCCTATAACCTCTGAGCAATCTCACCTGCCACAATGGTTTTGTTCGTTTGTTTTTGGTTTATTTCAGCAACTGTAGGAGTAATTTCATTTGGAAAGAAGGCCTAGAGCCTAAACTTCCTTATTTTAAATCTTGTGATTGTGTGTGAATTCCTGGGCACAAAGTAGTGGCGCCTCCACCAAATCCTCAGAAAAAAAAAAAATTCTGAAAATGCTTTAGAAAACACAATCTGAAAAGAAGGAACCTCGGTTGAGAAGATGCCTCCATAAAAATAGCCTGCAGGCAAGTCTGGGGAGGGCATTTTCTTCATTGATAGGAGAGGACCGAGATCACTGTGGGTAGTGCCACCCCCAGGTCCCTGATCCTGAGTTATGGCTTTTGATGTTATCGGTGTAATCACAGCAACAGAAAGCAAATTAGAATCCCAGCACTCGGGAAGCAGAGCCAGGCGGATCTCTGTGAGTTCGAGGCCAGCCTGGTCTACAGAGCGAGATCCAGGACAGGCAAAAAAAAAAAAAAAAAAAAAAAAAAAAAACGAGAGAGAGGGGGGGGGGAGGAGGGAGGGAGGGAGAGAGAGAGTGAGAGAAAGGGAGAAATAAAGAAAGAAAGAAAAGAAAAAAAAGAAAGCAAATTAGGACAAACCCCTAAGCCAGATGAACCCAGCGCATGGGCAACTGGCTGCACGGTGTGTGGTGGTGGGCTCTCACGCTGTGGTTCCACATGTCCTGAACGCCGAAACTCGAGACAACTGCTTTTTTTTTTTTAAACAGTAGAGAAGTTGTGACCTCGTCCTACAGGAAATCTGCAACCGCATAAACACAGCAGCGCCGGGTGCATGAACCTGGGAAAAGCGCTCTCCAGGGACCCCAGCCCCGCCCTTTCAGGCACGCCCCGTCCAGACCTTGAGCCACGCCCCCAACGGACACGCCCCGCCCCAAAGCGAACCACGCACCACCCAGAGCCTGAGCCACGCCCCAGGGAGCCTGACCGCCTAGTCTTCCCGGTGCCCGCCTCTCCTCCTTAGCAACAGACAGGACGCTTTCATCTTAGCAACTACTCCAGGTGCCACCATGGCTGAAGAGGAGGTCCCAGTAGTGGCTGAGAGAGTTCTAAAGATACTGAGGGTGTTCATAAACCAGCTGGACACCTACAGCAGCGGAAACATAGGAAAGGTGAGCGGCGGCCCGAGTCAGACTCAGTGGTCAGTGTGCGTCCTTGGTCCATCCCCACAGCAAAGGTCTGCACTACAGGCTGTTAGGAGCCTCCCCGGGGGAGGGGGGAGGGGGGAGATTCCAATCTTGGCACGTCAGCGCCTCCAGGACCTGTCCCTAACCGGGCTTGACCCATGCTCCTTCCTGGAAACCCAGGTGTTTGGAGACTGCAAGTCAGACTTAGGTTCCTGCTTTTTTTTTTTTTTTTTTTGGTTTTTTGAGACAGGGTTTCTCTGTGTAGCTTTGCGCCTTTCCTGGAACTCACTTGGTAGCCCAGGCTGGCCTCGAACTCACAGAGATCCGCCTGGCTCTGCCTCCCGAGTGCTGGGATTAAAGGCGTGCGCCACCACCGCCCGGCTTGGGTTCCTGCTTTTTTAATGTGGGGAAACCGAGGCTCAAGAGAGAAGAAAAGGGTTTGCAAAGATCAGATAAGGAATAATGGGCAGGACGTGAAAACAAATTGTAAGTCCAGCCATTACGTCGCCCGTGAAGCATTCATCTACCCTTTTTTAACCATCTATTTTGTGCTAGGCACAGTTTTTGACCAGGTCCCATTAAGTTTCCTCACCCCCAGGAGGGCTGGGGAGACAACCCAGTGGGAGGTGGTACTCCAGGTACAAGCATGGGGCCTTAAGGTCTGACCTCTATCATCCATGTAAAAGCTGGGCAAGTAGTAACACTGGGAAGCACAGGGAGAGCCTGGGAGCTTGCTGGCCAGCCATTCCAGCTGAGATGACAAGCTCCAAGCGCAGTGAGAGACCCTGTCTCGAAAACTAAGTGGAGACATAAAGAGAAAGACACCTTTCCACCTCTAGCCTACACACACACACACACACACACACACACACACACACACACACACACACACACACACACGGGGGGGGGGGGGGGGAAGAGATCCCAAGAGAGAAGCTAGGAGCTGTCTTCTTAAATTGTTCATTTGTCAAAAGAAAGTCATTTTTTAGAGGCTGGAGAGATAGATCAGGGTTAAGAGCACAGGCTGCTTTTCTAGATGGCCCAGGTTCAATTTCCAGCACTCATTTCATTCAGTTTCCAGCGGATCACCTCCATCTGTAACTCCAGTCCAAGATGATCAGACAAGCTCTCCTGGCCTCTGTGGGCACTGCATGCACATGGTGCACATACTTACACACAGGCAAACACTCATATGCATAAAAATAAAATAAGTAAATCTTGGCACGTGCTACTAGAACTCAGGTTTCCTGCCTCCCAAAATTGTTAAAAAAGAGTCTGTGGAAATAAAAACCCTAGTGAATCCTTAAGACACATCATCAGATGACCCATTGTGAAATTAAATTCTGGCATGGATTATTGAGGGGTCGTGGCCTCCCTGAATGGCTACACAAATATAGCACCAGCATAGACAGAAGAGCATGTAAGTGGACAGCTAATGCTGGGAAGCTCTCACCAGAGCAAGCAATGTGTTGTGTGTAAGTGCACAGTAGAGACAGCTGTGAGGATGCCAGGAAAGCAGTTCTCTTCAAAATTGGATGTATTTTTTATGAAGTGTTTTTCTTTTCTTTTTTCTTTGGTTCTCTTACCATCTTAGTTGGCCTGTTTTCATAGTGGTTAGTGGTTTGTTTTGTTTTTTTTTTTTTTTTAATTGACACTGGAATGAGATAGAGGTTTTACATTACAGATTGAATCTAAAAAAAATAAACAGATGAATCTTAGCCAACATCATTATTCTACTTTATTATTCAGTAAAGAGTGGCCACTGGCCCCATGTGGTCATCTCAACATGGGTAGTCCCCAAAGAGAAGAGCTGAAAGCTTAAATGCATATTGAATCCCAAAGACCAGCCTTTGACGAAGAGAAGACACCAGCATTCAGAAGCTGAGGCTAGTCTGGGCTACATAGTGAGACATTGTCTATGAAAAAAGTGAGGGGTAAAATAGCTCATCAATTTTTATAGAGGCTGAGAATGTAACAGGGCGCCAGACCTTAGTAGGCCCTAAGACCTTAGCACAGCTGACTCCATGATCGAAGAACCATTCATTTAGGCTGTAAAACTCAGCACATAGACAGCACCGCCTACCGAAACTAAAACAAAGGCCTAATCCACTGAAGTCCATATAGTTCTGGGAACATCTCAAAATGTACTAACCTTGCTGTTTAGCTTTTGTAGTTCGGCTTCTGGCTAACTGTTGTTAACTGAAGTATGTCAACCCAGACATGGTTTTTGTGCTTAAAAGCTCACCCTGAAAAAGGTTCAGTACTACACTGGGATCCTGAGCACCCAGTGTTGTTGACAGCTGGCTAATAAAGACTTCCTATTGGTTTAAACCCATGTTTGAGCAGTCTTCTCTGGTGAATACCCCACAACATCTCTGTGGTGGAGCATTTGCCTAGCATCTATGAAGCCCTGTGTTTAAAATGCATCACAAGCCAGGCAATGGTGGTACATGCCTTTAATCCCAGTACTGATGAGGCAGAGGCAGGTGGATCTCTGAGATCAAGGCCAGCCTGGTCTACAGAGTGAGTTCCAGAACAGCCAGAGCTTCACAGGGAAAACTTGTCTGGAAAAAACAAAAACAAATAAGATACCCCACAACCGTAATAATTTATATTGATTGTATATTAAACTGATAAACAGTTCTTTGGGTTTATTAGATTAAGTAAAACATTTAGGGCTAAAGGATGTGGTAGTGATCTCGGTCAGCACGTGCAAGGACCTGCTTTTGATCCTCAGTACTAAAATAATGGTTTTGTTGTTGTTGTTGTTGTTGTTGTTGTTTTGGTTTTTCAAAACAGGGTTTCTGTGTAGCTTTGCGCCTTTCCTGGAACTCACTTTGTAGACCAGGCTGGCCTCGAACTCACAGAGATCTGCCTGCCTCTGCCTGCCGAGTGCTGGGATTAAAGGCGTGCGCCACCACCGCCCTGCCTAAAATAATGTTTTAAATTGACTTTCATCTGGTTTTGTTTGTTTGTTTGTTTGTTTTTTAGATGTAACCATTGGATAGTTTTAGGCTAGGGATGTAGCTGAGCCAGCAGGGCTTGCCTAGCAGACACAAAGCAAGCATGGTGGTGTGTGACTGTGATTGCATTCAGGAGGTGGAGGCAGGAGCTTAGAAGTTGAGGTCATCTTTGGCTACATAGCAAGTTCGAGGCCATCCTAAAATACATGAAATTCTGCTTCAAGAGAGAAAGACAAAGAGAGGTGGAGAAGAGGGAGGGAGAGGGACGGGTAAAGGATAGGCAAACTGATTTTTGTTTGTTTGGTTTTTGAGACAGGGTTTTTCTGCATAGCTCTTGTTTTCCTAGAACTGGCTTTGTAAACTCAGGGATCCACCTGCCTCCAGAGTGCTGGGATTAAAGGCCTGTGCCACCATACCCCACTGGCAAACCGATTTTAAATGACCTCAGGGGCTCACCTTGCAGATCTGTGTTCCCATTGAACAAGACAAACATTTTCACGAGAGCCCAGCTCTACCTCGAGCTAAAGCAAGCCGTTGCTGAAGCTCTCTGCAACTGTGTCACCGTCTATTCAGTGTCCTCTCATATGTGGCCACTTCCCTGTGTTGTGAGCATCATCATATCAGCCTTGTTGTGACCATGAGGTACAGGGCTTTTGCCCAGTCTGTGGGGTACCCAGTAAAGGCAAGAATCTAGAATCATCACTCACTGCCTTTCCTTGCTCAGAACTCCACTCAGCACCCAGGACATTTCTGTTCTCTTGCAGTTCCTAGCTAACTGTGTGGCTGGGGCTTCCCTGGAAGAGATTACAGAAGAGGAGGAGGAGGAAGATGAAACAAAGTCAGCAGCCCCGGAAGCTTCCACCGCAAAAGTGAAGGAAGGCACATTCCAGATCGTAGGCACCTTGGCCAAGCCAGAAAGCGTCAGGCCGGACTTCGCAGTGGAGACATACTCAGTAAGCCCCCGGGGCTCTCTGTGGGACTTGATGAGGGCAGAATCCCTCTGCCACCCACTCTGCCATCTCAGCCCTTCTGTTCTGCAGGCAGGCTTACAATGACAGGACATGGGAAATATCTTTTTAGTTTTTTTAAATCTTTGTTTCATCTGTGTTCATGACTGCAGGCGTGGGCATGTCACAGTGTACATACAAAAATCAGAGGACTAAATGTTTGCCTTGCATTTTGAGACAGGGTCACTTTGTTAGATGTTGCTGCCCACACCAGTGTAGCTAGAGTTTTCCTGACTTGCCCACAGTCAGGACAAATCTTTGTCACCCTCCAGTCCCACAGCCACTCAGACCCAACCAAGTAAACACAGAGAGTTATATTGCTTACAAACTGTATGGCCATGGCAGGCTTCTTGCTAACTGTCCTTACAGCTTAAATTAATCCATTTCCATAAATCTATACCTTTCCACGTGGCTTGTGGCTTACCGGCATCTTCACATGCTGCTTGTCATGGCGGCGGCTGGCAGTGACTCCTTCCGCCTTCCTGTTCTTTCTTTTCTCCTCTCTGTTAGTCCTGCCTATACTTCCTGCCTAGCCACTGGCCAATCAGTGTTTTATTTATTGACCATTCAGAGCAATTTGACATACAGACCATCCCACAGCACACCAGGCTAGCTGGCCCATGGGCGTTCAGATCCTTCTGTCATTGCCTCCTGTCTCCTCAGACTTCTGCATATGTCTCTCTACTGCATCCAGGTTAACATGGGTGCTGGGGATCCAAACAAAGGTCCTCATGATTGGGCAGCAATTACTGAGCCATCTCCCTAGCCCAGGACACATCTTTCTTCTGTGACAGGAAATACCACAATTTAAAGTCTCCACTTTAAATTTGGGGCCATAGCAAAGAATTTAAATGAGATATTCTTGGAAGAGATGTGTCTAGTCCTGACTTCCAAACTCATAAAAACCTTCTCTCTATGGAACATCAATCATAAGGCCACATGAATGTACTTTACAGGAAAGAGGAATAGTGTGGGGTAGTGCGTTCCTAGGGACGCACATGCCTTCTATCTGCCTATTGAGCATCTGTGCCACCTTCACCTGACAAATTAGACCCTGTCCTCACTGGGAGACATTTCTGCACCTCTAGAAGAGGTGCCCTCTCTCCCAGGCTAACCTCTCCATCCACCTGGCCCTCTACTCTTTAAAACCACCATAGAGCTCTGTGTACCTCATAACCTGTTCTTACCTTAAGATTTAACTCATTACCGATGTTAATTACAATATGTGAGAAAAGTATTATTGAGTCCTGTATTGTAGATGTTCATCCTGGCTCATTCTTGTACTCCAGCACTTGGGAGGTAAAGACAGGAGAATCACAAGTTCAGGGCTATTCAGTACAAATGAGGGCCAGTGTTCAGATATGTGAGCCTATGGAGCCATTCCAAATTTCAACCATAACAGAGACCCTGTCTTCAGATAAGGTGGCAGACTGAAGTACTAGAAATTAGGATGTCAATAATACATCTGTGGTGGTTTGAATGAGAATGGCCCCCATAGGTCATATATTTGAATGGGCGGTTCCCAGTTGGTGGAACTGTTTGGGAAGGATTAGGAGGTGTGTGCTGTGGATGATTGATTGATAAATAAAATGCTGATTGGCCAGTAGCCAGACAGAAAGTATAGGTGGGACAAAGAGAGAGGAGAGGTCTGGGAAGTAAAAGGCTGAGGCAGAGAGACGCTGCCAGCTGCCGCCATGACAAGTGAGATGTAAGGTACCAGTAAGCCACGAGCCATGTAGCAACTTATGGACTAATAGATATGGGTTAATTTAAGATATAAAAACAGCTAGCTAGAAGCCTGAGCTATTAGGCCAAACGGTTTAAATAATATAAGCATCTGTGTGTTTATTTTTATAAGTGGGCTGTGGGACTGCGGGGGCTTGGCGGGACCTGGAGAGAAGCTCTCCAGCTACAGGTGTGGCCTTGTTGGAGGAGGTGTGTTACTAGGAGTGGGATTGGAGGCTTCAAAAGCCTATACCAGGGGGCTGGGGATTTAGCTCAGTGGTAGAGTGCTTGCCTAGCAAGTGCAAGGCCCTGGGTTCAGTCCTCAGCTAGCGGGGGAGGGGGTGAGCCTATCCCAGGTCCAATCTCTTTCTCTCTGCCTCCTGCTTGTGGATCAGATGTAGGCTCTCATCTACTGCTCCAGCACCATGGGTGTGTCTGCCTGTTGCCATACTCCCCACCCTAATGGATAAGGACTCCAGCCCTCTGAAACTGTAAACAAGCCCCCAATTAAATGCTTTCTTATATGAATTGTCTTGGCCATCGTGTCTCTTCACAGTGCTAGAACACTGACAAAGACAATATCCTTTCAGGGAGGGGCAACAATTCACCCTATGATATCAGCCTCTTAAAGGGTCTTTTTCTGGGCTGACTGTGCAAGGAGAGAGCACACAGTAGGACCATACAGTGAGAGCATCAAGACAGAGATGGGAGCCATGTGTCTACAAAGCTACACATTAGCGGCCATTGCCATTACTCACTGGCAGCTAAAGGAGGGGGAAAGTGGATTCTCCCTTCCACCTGTTGGGAGCCAACTTGCTTGGGACACCTTGGCCTTGGAACTGAGCCTCTAGAGCAGTGGTTCTCAACCTTCCTGATGCAGCGACCCTTTAATACAGTTCCTCATGTTGTGGTGACCCCCCAACCATAAAATGATTTTCGTTGCTACTTCATAACTGTAATTTTGCTACTGTTAGGAATCATGATGTAAATATCTGTGTTTTCTGATGATCTTAGGCGACCCCTGTGAAAGGGCCATTTGACCCCCAAAGGAGTCTCGACTCACAGGTTGAGAACCACTGCTCTAGATGGTATTTGTGCTAGATGGTTTTCTGTTAACTTGACACAAGCTAAAGTCATCTGAGAGGAGGGAACCTTAATTAAGAAAATGTCCCCGGGGGCTGGAGAGATGGCTCAGCGGTTAAGGACACTGGCTGCTCTTCCAGAGGTCCTGAGTTCAATTCCCAGCAACCACATGGTGGCTCACAAACATCTGTAATGAGATCTGGTGCCCTCTTCTGGCCCGTAGGCAAACATGCAGACAGAACACTATATACATAATAAATAAATAAATATTAAAAAAAAAAAAAAAGAAAAAGAAAATGTCCCCATAAGATTGGGCTGTACACAAGCCTGTAGGGCATTTTCTTAATTAGTGATTGATGGGGGAGAGCCCAGCCCATTGTGGGTGGTGCCACCCTTGGGCAGGTGGTCCTAGGTTCTATAAGAAAGCAGGCTGAGCAAGCCATGGAGAGCAAGCCAGTAAGCAGCACCCCTCCATGGCCCCTGCATCAGCTTCTGCCTCCAGGTTCCTGCCCTCCTTGAGTTCCTGCCCTCACTGCTTTTGATAATGACCTGTTAAATGGAACTGTGAGTAAAATAAACCCTTTCCTCCCCAGGTCGCTTTGGTCATGGTGTTTCATCACAGCGATGGTCACTGTAAGACAGTAGAGGTGCATTTCGGTGATCTAAGACACTCAGTGTCTTGCGCTTTGTTCTAGTCGCCCAAGCAAATTAGAGTAGATGAATGCAAAAGGACCTGAAAGGGGCTGGAGTGTAGTACACATGCATGCCTGTGTGGAAACTGGAAGACAGTGTTGGTGTCTTCCTCCTCTGAGACAGCCTCTCATTGGCCTGTCGCTCACCCATAGGCTAGGCTGGGTGGTGAGGGAGCCCCAAGAATCCTCCCACCTCCACCTCCCCAGTTTTACAAGTGGGAGCGGTCATAGCCAGCACTGCACTTTATGTAAGTTCTGAGGACTGAACTCAGGTCCTCACACTTGCGAGGCAGATGCTTTACCCACTGAGCCATCTCGGCTTTACCCACATTTTTGCAGTTTTTAAAACCACCCGTTCTAGACTGTTTTCAATGATGACTTTGTTGCTTGTGAATTACACGCAAAAGAGAGCCGAGATTTCATTTTAATAGAAATGCTTATGCAAACGCTCTCTATGGGACTCTCCTGGGGTGGGGGTGGGGAGGGCAGATCTAATTCTGCCTGTCCATCTAGATGTCCAGGTTCCCTTGTCGACTGGTTGACGCAAAGCGACTGTTGCTCTTCTTTTCAGGGTATCTCCCGAGAAGACCTCCTCACGCGGCTGCTGGAGTGTGACGTTGTCATCTATAACATCACTGAAAATGTGCAGCAAGTGGAGGAAGCCGTATGGGCAGTCACGGGTCAGTGAGCCAGAAGGAGCTGCTAGGGATGGAAAACGCTATAGTCCCGCCTCCCAGTTAACCCTTTATAATTGTAAGGGGGCACTGTTTATGCGAAGCTACCTTGAGAGGCACAGAAGAACTGGTCTGAGAAGTACCTGAAGTCTGAAGGGTGTTCGAGTGAATTCACCCGTGGGTGGAAACCCAGGAGTCTGGTAGTGTTTTAGTGGGGGTCTTACGGTGCAGTTTGGTGTCTTAGTTTCTTTGCTGCTGCTATGATAAAAAAAAAAAAAAAACACACCCTGGCCAAAGCAGCTTAAAGGAGAAAGGGTTTATTCTGGCTTAGTTCAAGATACAGTTGGTCATGGTGGGGCAGTCAAGGTGGCAGACGCTTGAGAGCTGAGCCACCCTCCAGTCCTTCTGGCCTCCTCCCACTGCATGGGAACGGCACACATGCATCCATGCAGGCGAAACACTTGCACACATAAAATAAAAATAAATGATTTTTTAAAAAGAAAGGACTCAGCCGGGCGGTGGTGGCGCACGCCTTTAATCCCAGCACTCGGGAGGCAGAGCCAGGCGGATCTCTGTGAGTTCGAGGCCAGCCTGGGCTACCAAGTGAGTTCCAGGAAAAGGCGCAAAGCTACACAGAGAAACCCTGTCTCGAAAAAACCAAAAAAACAAAAAAAAAAAAAAAAAAAAAAAAAAGAAAGGACTCACAGTAGGCCGCATGAGTGAATGTACCCAAGGACCCTAATTATTGTTGGGGGCTTTTCCTTTATGGGGTTCAAGAGAAGAAGGAGTTTGTTGCTAAGGAACATAATGAGGTTGGTTCTCTTATTTTGATTGACAGGTTTAAGCTCCGTAACTGCCCGTGCATGCTCCTTCCCATGATGCACTTGATTTTGATCATATACATGCCCAATTGTGCATAGGCATGACTGTGAAGAGGGAGAAGGTCACTCTCGGGACACAGTTTGTCTCATTGCACTCACACCCAAGACCAGTTCAGGAGCTGGTGAGAATTGCCCAGCCATAAAGGCACTTGCCCCCGAGCCTGACAACTGGAAGTTTTTCCCCAGGGCCATGCGATAGAAGCAGAAAACTGACTCTCACAGATTCTCCTCTGGCCCCTCTCTCTCTCTCTCTCTCTCTCTCTCTCTCTCTCTCCATATATATATATATATATATATATATATATATATATATGTGTGTGTGTGTGTGTGTGTGTGTATATGTATATGTGTATATGTATATATATATATAATTTTTATTTTTTTTAAGTTTCAGCCTAGATCTGCCCTTTTTTTTTTTTCCTTGGTTTTAGGATATGGTCTGGGACATGTTTAAAGAGCAATGAGGCCTCATCTGAGGGTCACTAAGAGGAGTAACTTATGCCCAGTGTTTAAAGCATGTACACGTGCAGCCCAGTGCAGGCAGGAGTTCTAAGATGCCACCAGGTTGCTAGATGCGTTGTCTGGGTGAGTGTGGGTAGGATGTGCAGGTTAGGGGCTCAGGCTACTGGATGCGTTTTTGGAAGACAGTGTGTGCATTGTCCAAGCCTAGAGGTACCCTCGGGTACTCAGCTATTTCCTGTGCTCACATGCCTCATCTGGATGGCCCTTGGCTGCAGATTTTACACAGTAAACATAGAGTCTTTTAGCTGTGGCAGACAGCATCAGCCCATCAGAGGATGACCCCATTGTTGGTTATGCTGCGGCGCTCGTGGCTGGACGCCGCTGACAGAGGAAAGTCACGAGCCATGGTTAACCTTTTTAGAGCTTTATTGGGAGAGAAAGGGGGAGAGAGAGAGAAACAGAGAAACCACACGGAGGGAAGAGAACCCACAGAGGCCACACCCGCTTTTTAGGCTGGGACGACATCACAGGCTGGTGACATAATTAAGGACATAATCCTTACACCCATGACCCCCCCCCCCCCCAGGAAAAGTACACGTTTCTCAAACCTGGGCACTACACTGGTTCTCCAGGGATTTAAGTGTAGAGCGCATCTTGCCTCTTTCTCATTTCTTTAAGAAAACTTCGCTTCTCTACTTGAAGGAAATGGTTTAACTCAATTCTGTAGTTTGTGAAGTTGAGTGTTTCTATGCAAGAAAATGTAATCAGAACCACTCTGACTACAGTGGCCACTGTGGTGGGTGAGCCTAGAGAGAACAGTCAGGACTTTGTCGTTTTACCCCGTACACATTTTCCAATTTTGTTTCGTCTTAAAATGAATGTGTATTCTTTGGAAAAAAGATTTAGTATGCAGTGTGTGTGTGTGTGTGTGTGTGTGTGTGTGTGTGTGTGTGTGTACCCACAGAGGCCAGAAGAAGGCATCATTTCTCCTGGAACTGGAGTTAGAGGAAGCTGAGAGCCACTGATGTGGGCGCAATGGGAACTGAACTTAGGTCTTCTCCAAGAATAGCATATGTTCTTAGCCAACCACTGAGCCCATGAATATATATTTTTAACACCAGACATGGTACTCAGGACGCTGAGGTAGGAGGATTGATGCAGTTGGACTTTTCTTTGGGCCACCAGCTCACAAATAACAGCATGAAGACTCATATTAATTCTGAAGGTTCTGCCTTAGCTTAGGCTTGTCTCATCAGCTCTTATAACTTAAATTAACCTGCTTCTATTGATCTACATTTTGCCATATGGCCTTTTACCTTTCTTTCATTCTGAATGTCTGACTCCCTCCTTGGCTGGTAGGCATCTCTTGGCATAATTCTCATGCCTAGATTCCTCTTCTTCCGTCTCCCTGGAAATCCTGCCTACCCTCCCTGCTAGCTATTGGCCATGCAGCTCTTTATTACAGCAATCACAGCAATACATCTTCACACAGTATACTAATATTCCACAACAAATTGAGATTCTGAAGCCAAGCTGCCTACACACACACACACACACACACACACACACACACACACACACACACAAACTGTCAAAAATAGCAAAAAAGAAAGGCAGGTAAGACAAGGACAGAAAAGAAAGACAGACTGCAGGGCTAGAGATGTTACCCAAATGAGTGCTTGCCTAACAGAGGTTCAATTCCCAGCAGTGCATAAACTGTAGGGGGCCCAAAATAGCTTGACCACACAACTGCCGTGACAGACTTACTGGCAGGCAACATCTGGATCCAGGAAAAGCCATAAGCTAACACAGCCCAGGGATCCACCCATGGATGGGCCAGCATCTAAGGGGAAGTACCAGACATCCCAAAATGTTCCAACCCTTAAATAAGAGAAGATCACCAGATGTCCCTGAGCCTAGCACACACCTATTTCCCTTTTACAGATATGCCTACACAAATGTCAGCCAATCAGGGTCCTGAACCCTAGAAATCCCCTCACCCCAACCTCTGCTATGATTAAAAGCCCTACCCTGCCTGGGCTCGGAGCTCTGTGCTCTCATGGCTTCGTCAGACAGAGAATCCAAACTCTGAGCTTGAAATAAAGGCTCTTTGCTTTTACATACAGGATTCGGTCTCCGTGGTGGTCTTTTAGGGGTCCCTGCGATCTGGGCATAACAAAACCAGGTGTGATGGTGAACACTCATAACCCTAGTACTTTGGAGGTAAAGACCGAATCAGAAGTTCAAGGTCAGCCTTTGCTACATAGCTAGTTGGAAACCAGACTAGAGGACAGGGAAAAGAAGAAGAAAAAAAAAAAGGGAGAGAGAGAGATCCTTCACACAAGCATTGCTTTTTACTGACACTTTATTATTTTGAATGGTTTAGAATTCTTGTACCTCACCTTTCGTGGATAATGGGAAAGGAATGAACTCCTGGCAGCGAGGGGGAAATATTTGCATACAAGGAGTGCTTCTGTCGGGGGAACAGGCAGAATATGTCCAACCTATTCTAAGTGTCACACATTTTTAAAAAGGTGACCCAATTAGAGCACTAGAAATGTGACACGTATTCACAAAACGGGCCCAAGTGGAGCACAGCAGAGAGGAAGAGTCGAAAGAGCAAAATGAAACGGGAGAGACAATGAATGCCCTTACTAGACTTGTAAAGTAACGTTTGAAGCTGGGATTAGCAGGGAAGCACGGCAAGGTGTCCTCTGGCTGAGTTCCGTCATGCTGTCCCATCTTAGGGGGAGTCCCTGCATTTTCCCAGCGAGGACACCAGCGCCTCGGTGTGCTATTGTGTAAGGACTCGCCTAACAGGACCGAAAATGTGCCTGATGCTCATAGGACCCTCTGTCCTCACACTGAACCTCAGCAAAAATCATTCCACAGCAAGACTATTTCAGGGCAACCAGAAGCCCCGACTCTGGGAGGCTCGGCAGAGCCTGTGACAAAACCCTCTGTTAGTGAGACACTCACTGCCTTTTGTGCATGTCTGTCCTACACACTCACCACACTTAGTTCATAAACTGCATGTCCGTCTTACCTATGTTCTCTACCACAGGCCTCGGGCCCCCAAGGCAGAGCCCCCGCCCCACCGCCCAAGATGGCTGCAGTGTGAAGGGAAGATGCATCCTAAATGACCTCCACACCTGAAGCCTAAACTAGGAAGAAAGGCCTTCTGTGAAACCCCAAGAAAGCCTAATTTACCCTCCGATGGCAGCCTTTGGCAGAGGTCCCCACACTCGTTTTGGGCAGCTCACAACCACCTATAAATCCAGCTCCATGGGGGATTTGATGCCTCTGAGGTCTGCTGGCACCTGCAGTCACAGGGATATACCCACACCCAAGACACACATATTAAAAATAGAATTAAAATGTTTAAAACAAAACAAGCCGGGCAGTGGTGGTGCACGCCTTGGGAGGCAGAGCCAGGCAGATCTCTATGAATTTGAGGCCAGCCTGGTCCATAGAGCAAGATCCAGGACAGGCACCAAAACTACGGATAAACCTTGTCTGGAAAAAACAAAAAACAAAAACAAAACAAAAGGGCAAAAAAGCTCTTATATGAATTCAAATGACTGCTCTCTGTTTTGGCCCCACAGCATTGAATGAAGAAGTCGCTCATTTTGAAAAGCGAAAGATATTCATTTTGCTGTCGACGGTGATGACATGGGCGAGATCCAAACCTCTGGACCCTGTGAGTGGACTGCTAGCCTTTCCTCACAGTGAGCTGTGTATCCCTACACTCCTGAACCCCACCCCATCTCAAGCATTCCAGAGCTCATCAACTCTAGCTACATTCTAATAGAGGGGAGATTATTATTTTACACACCACCAAGGCTGAGTGATTTTGTGTGTGTGTTGTTTTCTGAGACAGCACCTGGTATAGTCCAAGCTGGCCTCAAACTCATTATATAGCCAAGGATGGCTTTAATTTCAGATCCTTCTACCTCTGTATCCAGAGAGCTGGGATTACAACATTCATGGCCATACTCAGTTTTTATGTGGTACTGAGACTCAAACCAAGGGCTTTGTGTATGCTTGACAAGCAGTCTGCCACCCAGCTACAACCACCAAGAACTTTAAAATGCTGTCCGGTGGGCAATGCTGCTACCTAGCAATGCTTTGGTCCAGGCCTGACCATATCTATGATAAGGGTCCAAGAAGGGTATTACATTGGTTACATTTTCTCACTGCTCTGACAGAATATCTAACCAAAGCAGGTAGTGGAAGGTTTGTTTTGGTTTTTTTTTTTTTTTTTTTTTTTTTTTTTTTTTTTTTTTTTTTTGGTTTTTCGAGACAGGGTTTCTCTGTGTAGCTTTGCGCCTTTCCTGGAACTCGCTTTGGAGACCAGGCTGGCCTCGAACTCACAGAGATCCGCCTAGCTCTGCCTCCCTCCCGAGTGCTGGGATTAAAGGCGTGCGCCACCACCGCCCGGCTGTTTTGGTATTTTTAAGACAGGGTTTCTTTGTGGAACAGCCCTGGAACTCGCTTTGTAGACCAGGCTGGCCTCAAACTCACAGAAATCTACCTGCCTCTGCCTCCCTAGTGCTGGGATTCAAGGGGTGCGCCACCACGGCCTGGTTGTTTATTTTTTGAGACAGGGTCTTACTATCTACCCTGGCTGGTCTGGAACTGCTGTGCAGACCAGTCTGGGCTTAAACTTACAGGGGTCTGCCTCTGCTTCCCTAGTGCTGAGATTAAGGGCATGCACCACCGTGTCTGGCAGAAGGAGTCGATTTATCTTGCCTCACTGAAGGGATATGAACCATCATGGAATAGAAGGTGTGGCTGGTCACACTGTGTCTGCCATCAGGAAGCAGAGAGAGATGAATGCTGGTGCTCAGCTCGTCTTCTCTTTTCCATTGAGTCAGGGGGCCCATTCTGGTGGCTCTTCCCTCCTCAGGTAGTTCTCTGGAAATACTCTCCCAGGTACGCCCTGGCTCTCCCAGATGTTTCCAAATATGGTCAAACTGACAGTGCAGATGGACCTTCACAGTTATACTTATTGCCCAATGACTCTGTAGCCCTCCTGAAGTCACAGCACAGTGTGACAGTGAGTGTCTGCGTGACATGGGTGTGAGTAAGACCCCCTGAGAGCCCAGCTCAGCAAGCCACTTATGGTGACACACATGCCCATCAGTGACAGTTACTGCATCGTGACCAAATGCGTGCCTTCTCCCAACCCTGCTGCTTCTCGGTTGTCACTTGCGGCCATTCCAGAGCCTTTGTGCCATGGGACAGCCTCTCATTCAGTGGAAAATCACACTAGCACCTCTTCAAGGGGCATCAGTCGGTGTGAATAGTCCCAGCTCAATCTGAGGAGATGATGATGTTATGGAGGTCGAGACACTCCCACCCCACCCCGGGAAAAGACCACAGACGCAATCCAGATTATCATCAGTTAAATTTATTGATACCACTTGTAGGTCAGCAATCTCTGAGCCTGAGGGAAGGATTTTTTTTTTTTTTTTTTTTTTTGGATTTTTGAGACAGGGTTTCTCTGTGTAGCTTTGCGCCTTTCCTGGATCTTGCTCTTTAGACCAGGCTGGCCTCGAACTCACAGAGATCCGCCTGCCTCTGCCTCTCGAGTGCTGGGATTAAAGGCGTGCGCCACCACCGCCCGGCCCGGGTAGGATTTTTAAAGGCAAAAGCCACAATCGAACCTTGATTATCTGCACAAGCAAGCCAAGGCTGTTCTGCTCTGCCAAGATCAGGTAGTCCAGGCGACCTCAAAATAGTCTTTGATTGTCTGCATAAGCAGGTTATGGATGCAAAAAGAAAAAAAGAAAGTTAGTCATATCATAACAAGAGTAGATGGTCAGGGCTGCATATTTCAGGGTTGGGGTTTTCCTTTTCAACTAATACACTGTCCTCAAGGCTTCTGTTTGTGTCCTCTCAGAAACTCTTTTATTAATAAACCTCAACAGGGAACCTCATCTTCCAGGTGTCATTTGATGGCTCTGTTGGGACTCTCCAAGATTTCCAGCAACAATTCTTTCCTTCCCTTTAATGCCATGAATAGCAGAGAAAATAAACCCGCTCCTGCACCCCAGGGCAGGCAAACTGTAAGCCTCACAGCTGCCTGTGAGGAGGAGGAAAATGGAGAAAAAAGGAACAAAGCCAGGCTGCTTGAGATGAGGCGGCATGGAGGGCAGCCGCCTGGTGGCAGGCACCTAGTGAGGAGGAGAGCTTGGAAGATCAGTACAGAAGCCTAAGTGTTGATTAGGGAGCTAAGAAAGCATCCCTAGGTTCTGGCCAGCATCTCAAAGAAGAGAAGAAGAAGAATTAGCAGGCATACCCAGCCAAACCTCAGGGTGGCCTGGGCACGTGGGGATTGCACTGGAGAGTGAGGACTCTGAAAAGAAAAGCATGTTATCTTAAGGTGAAGCCACCTTCCTTGGGGTGTCCCCTAGCCCAGTCCTTGACCTGCCCCATTGCATTAATCCTTAAGAGAGGAAGCAAAGGTTTGTCTTCACCTAGTGGTAGATTCTATTCATTACATTGTGAGTTCCTTCCAATTGGCGGCCCATGGCAGCCTTGTTAAAATGTAATTCAGATCTTGCTGCTGGCCTGTATAAAAAGTGTCAGTCCTGGCGCCGGGCGTAGTTCAGTGAGCAAAGGTGCTTGCAGTGGCGCCTGAGTTTGAATCTTCAGAACCCTATTAAAGCCACATGCATAGTGGGAATGTCAGTCGGCTCAGAGCTCCTGTGTAGACAAAAAAAGTCCCCAGAAGCTTGAGGGCCCACTAGCTTGGATGCTTGTTAACAAAACAAACACAAAGAGACCAGGTGGAAGGTGAGAACTGACACCCAGGGTTGAGTTTTAACCAGCACGCGTAGGCCATGGCACCTGTATGTCCACACTCACATGTGAATATTTACACACATTGTGGATGTATACACACACAGACACACAGCTCCACCCCTTCCAATAACTGTCAGGATCATCTACATTCCTCAACATTGCCCACAGCCCCGACCACCTGGCTCCTGCCTGCGTCATCATCTTCCTGTTCCCACCTTGGCTCCAGTCACATGGAGCAGGATCCCATGTAGCCAGATTTATTTGAGCAAAGCAACTCCCAGATGAGTCCTCCAGTGCCAGAGGTCAAGGCAGGAGAAGTCATACACCCAGACTAAAGCAGGGAGGTTATATAGCATGTAAGCAAGGGATGATGATGTGTCCGCCACAAGCTGGGTTTGTGCCCAAGCGTGGTCAAAAACAGAATGCTTTAGGTGGTGACGTGGGCTGCTGGCAGCTTCAGGGCAGGATCAGCTACAGCCGCCAAGAACGCAGACTGGGCTTTTTGGCGCCTTTTCTTTGTTGGAGATTCTCTGAGAGGGCGGGGTTTGGAAAGAGAGAGATGGGGCTTCTCAGACCCTGCAGGAGTGAGCTGGAGGTTCCAGTCGAACAATGTTTACATGCCACATAACTCTTACATTGTTAATTTTTATTTATTTGGTGTTTTTTTAGAATATGGAAATTTATATGTTTGTTGGCATATTTATTTTTGGTTTTTAGAGACAGGGTTTCTCTGTGTATTCATGGCCATCCTGGAACTCACTCTATAGACCAGGCTGGCCTCAGACTCAGAGATCCACCTGCCTCTGCTTCTCGAGTACTGGGAGTAAAAGCAGTCACCACTATGCCTGCTGTGGGTTTTTGTTTGTTTTTTTTTTTTTTTTTTTTTTTGGTTTTTTGAGACAGGGTTTCTCTGTGTAGCTTTGCGCCTTTCCTGGGACTCACTTGGTAGTCCAGGCTGGCCTCGAACTCACAGAGATCCACCTGGCTCTGCCTCCCGAGTGCTGGGACTAAAGGCGTGCGCCACCACCGCCCGGCTGTTTGTTTTTTAAATTCCTGAATGTCCTTGATCATTGGGTAAATTTCAGCCTCCATCGACTGTACCATACATGTATTTTTTTCACATTTTGAGATTAGGACTCATTATATAGCCCAGGCTAGCCTGGAACTCACTCTGTAGCCCAGGCTAGCCTGGAACTCACTCTGTAGCCCAGGCTAGCCTGGAACTCACAGAGATCTGTCTGCCTCTGCCTCCTGAGTGCTGAGAATGAAGGCGTGCGCCGCCACTCCCTGCCCACGTTCTCTGGTAATAATTCCTTTCTTGTCTTGAATTAGCACCTTTCTTAGTTTACAGGCACAGCATAGTTTAGAGGTTTCATACACTCTGGTTACTGCAGCCACAGAAGGAAAGGGCTTCCACAGAAGGTTTAAGGCTAACAGGAACCGGGTTTGTAACTATAAATTCACAGTGTTGCTTTTGTTAGTGTAAGCTGGGCATGGTGGTCCATGCCTGTAATCCCAGGACTGAGAAGGTGGAGGCATTAAACCTGGAAATTCGAGGAGAAAGACCAAATCCCCAATTGTCGAGTTGAGGTAAGCTTACTGAATACTGGCCAGGAAGATGGACACAGATCAGGTTCATACCCTGGGCTCCCAGAGAATGGTATTGAATTATTTCAGTCAGGTGCTCTTTTTTTTCCCACTTTTTTAAAATTTATTTTTCTATTATCAGCTTGATACGGTATAAATTCCTATCCTAATTGTGAAATGTTTCATTGAGGCTTGCCTAGTAATTGAGTAAAACCAAAACTTATTATAAGCCACAGTCATCCTAAGGTCTCCCCCTGCTATATAGCCTCCATGATTCTGTGGGTTACAGTCTGATTGTTCTTTGCTTTATATCTAGAATCCACTTATGAGTGAGTACATACCATGTTTGTCCTTCTGGGTTTGGGTTATAGTCAGGTGCTCTTAAAGGCCCAACCCACAAAACTTCCCTTCGAGGTCTTTGCTTCCTATTGTCATCCAATCAGGGGCAAGCATACATCCTGTTGTACATCCTGCCTAGTACCTCCCACCTACACGTGATCAAGCACATCCTGTGCACTTGGGGCAACCAACATTGTTTATTGAAACGAACACATGTGACCTGTTAACGTAAGTGAACAACAGCCCCCAGCACTCCAGGAAATTATCTGTCCTTGGGCAAGCAAGGCTTACAGGTTAACTTTAGCTCTTATTAAAGGCAGGAGGATCAGAAGTTCAGGGTAAACTCCCTTTGGGTATTTATCGAATGCAAAGCCAGGCTGGGCAACCTGAGACCCTATGTCAAAAACAAACAAAAGGCCTCCATTTTGTTAGTATCCACAGCCTTGTGGTTTACAGCTAGCTGTCTTGCTAGCATTCAATATGCAGCTGTAACCAATAGAAAGACTGATTTCTGGGTAATGCCCCAAAGCTAGATCACATCTGTTACCAGAGCTACTGCCATGCCCATGATTTCCTTTGGTGTCTGCAGTTGAACCTGAACCATCAAGAAGGACCCCCACAAGTCTTGTTTTCATTTGTTTTGAGGTCACATCAAGGTGACTTTCCTGCTCATCCCAAAGCACAACCCAGACAAAATGAGCAAGACCCACCCCACACAGGCCTGGAGGCCCAGCACTATGTATTTTAAAGACTATTTTTTGTTTTAGTTGGCACATCACAATTGCATGTGTCCATGGAGTACATTTTTTTAATGAGTTTTACAGAGTCCTTGGTATGTCCCAAACAGAAAGCATGTATCACTTTCTTATGTGGGGGCTCTCAGTGTCCTCTGTGCTAGCTATCTGGAGATTTGGGTTTCATTCTTGGGAACCTGTATTCTCCAGTCCCACCCGGCCCTGCGGTCCCGCAGCCACTTATAAAATAATCACTCAGAGGCTTAATATTATTTACAAACTGTATGGTCTGTGACAGGCCTCTTGCTAGCTAGCACTCTGTTAATCTATGTTTTGTCTCGTGTTCTGAGGCTTACCAGTTTGCTGGCATGTTGTTCCTTGGGCAGCAGGCTGGCGTCTCCTCTGCCTCTCCTTTTCCTGCCTGTCTCTCTCCTTGACTTCCTGCCTGGCTATAACCTGATTCTCCCCATAGGCCAGAGCAGCTTCTTTATTAACCAATCATAGCAACACATATTCACAGCATCCAGAAGGACATTCCACAGCAGGAACCAGATAGTGTTGAGCATCTATTGAACAGCGAAGCACCCTTTGGCTCTAGAGTACTAGATTTGCGCCTTGTGTCTCCCTTAGGACGACACTGAGGTTCCCTTCACAGAAGAAGATTACCGGAGGAGAAAGCATCACCCTAACTTCCTGGACCACATCAATGCCGAAAAGATGGTTCTCAAATTTGGAAAAACCGTAAGTCTGGACACATAGAACACTGTGGGGTAGGAAGGGATCTGTGTGAGGGGGTGTACCTGGGCAACTTTCTCCTCTGCATGCTCACTCAGCCCTGCTCCCTTTCCAGGGCTGTTTTGCATGGCCAGAACACATCACAACACTGTAAACACCATGGTTTAGTTCCTCATACATCCCCACAGGTCTTGGCTTCTGGTTCAGCAATGCATTCTATCCTTAGAGATTCTCTGACCCAGATTGTGATTCAGCCCACTGACCTGAAGGCCCTGTGTTGGGACCCCAGCTAAACTCAGACTCTCTCCCACCAAGGAATCTGGGCAAATAACTCAGTTGGAATGAGAAGAAAGGGACCACACGTTCTTGGTTCCTAGAATCTGTCCCAATGTTTTTCTTCAAATAGCTCTGAAAAATGCAATATTAACCCCTCTTAAAAATAAATAGACGGGGTGGCGAATTTAGCTCAGTGGTAGAACGCTTGCCTAGCAAGCACAAGGCCCTGGGTTCGGTCCTCAGCTCTGAAAAAAATAAATAAATAAAAAATAAAGAGACAAGCTGGGCGGTGGTAGCACACAGCTTTAATCGCAGCACTTGGGAGGCAGAGGCAGGTGGATCTCTGTGAGTTCGAGGCCAACCTGGTGTACAGAGTGAGTTCCAGGACAGCCAGGGCTACACAGTGAGACTCTCATGTGTCCTCTTTAGAATTCTGTGAGGCGGGTGCTGCTGTTATCATCCCCATTTAATTTACACAGATTCCCAAACCCAAGGTTGCAAAGTAATGCGCGATGACAGCTCTGAAGCGCCACCTTGTGGTGGCATAAGATATAACAACCAAGGATTTCCAAAGTCCAGTTCTGTCCCTGAGGAATCCCATTGATTTGAAGAATGTGGTACAAACACCATGAGCATGAGGTAGTTAGAAAAACAACAAACTAGGCGGTGGTGGCACATACTTTTAATCCCAGCACTCGGGAGGCAGAGCCAGGCGGATCTCTATGAGTTCGAGGCCAGCCTGGGCTACAGAGCTAGATCCACGACAGGCACCAAAAACTACACAGAGAAACCCTGTCTTGAAACAAAACAAAACACAGAGAGAGAGAGAGAGACAGAGAGAGACAGAGAGACAGAGAGAAACAACAGACAGCTGGGGTGGTGGCTCACACCTGCAATTCCAGCACCCAGGAGGAGCTACAAAGTGAAACCTCCTACTCAAAATCAAACATGCCCAAAGTGACCAGCGACACATGGTTTTAATCCCAGCACTTGAGAGGTAAAGATAGGTGGAATTCTTTGAGTTTGAGGCCAGCAAGTTCCAGGAATACACAGTGGGACCCAGTCTCAAGACAACACCAAACAGAATGGAAAAGGATTAGAAATCCTAGTTCAACTCTGGTGGCAGGAGGGATGCTGGGGATTGGGCCAGGCCCTCACACATGCTAGGCAGTGCTCTCTATCAATGAGACATATCCTCGGAATATAAAAGGAGTATATTAGGTATCTAAATGTCTTCCAGCTCCAAATTCTGTTATTTTGTTAAAACTTTAACCCTGTTAATCACTCACATGTTTCATTCACTAAATGAGAATGTCTAATCTCACACACACACACACACACACACACACACACACACACACACACAAGTAAGTGCCTGGTAGTCTAAAGGGGAGCTATAGTGTCTTCTTCACACCCTTGTTTAATTATATTTATTTATCTATTTTATTTTTGGATTTTTTTCAAGGCAGAGTTTCTCTGTGTAGCCTTGGCTGTCATGGAACTCACTTTGTAGCCCAGGCTGGCCTCAAATTCACAGAGATCCACCTGCCTTTGCCTCCCAAGTGCTGGAATTAAAAGCGTGGGCTACTACCTTCTGCCTTCTTTCAGGGCTTTTGAGACAGAATCTTACCCTGTAGCCCAGGCTGGCCTGGAACATTCAAGGCAGACCTTAAACTTGTAACTGTCCTCTGCTTCTGCCTCCCAAGCAAATTCTGGGATTACAGTCATAAACTGTGTCCAACAAGGATGGTGACTGCTTCTTCTTTTCTCTTCCTCCTCCACTACGTCCTCTTCCTTTTCCTCCTCCTCCTCCCCCTCCATTTTTTTTAATGTGTGCACATATATGGGGTGAGTATACACTCGTGTGAGTGTGCATTTGTGTGAGTGCATGTGGAGGCCTGAGTTTGATGAAAGAAGTCATCCTTGATTGCTCCTTATTCACTGAGGCAGGGTGTCTCAATCAAACCCAGAGCTCACCAGTATGGCTAATCTCGATAGCCAGCTGCTCTAGGGATGGATCCCGTGTCTCCACCTTCAGAGGAAGGTGTAATTGAAGCGGGGCCACCACGCTCATGGAGCATTTATGTGGGTTCTGGGAATCCCGGCTCTGGTCCTCATGCTTGCCTAACAAGAGTTTAATCACAGAGCCTCCTCCCCAGTCCTGGATGGTTTAGAAAGTAACTGGAACAATTCTTCCTTGACTCTCGGGTGAGTGAGCAGAGCATTTCCCAACTCTGTCACCCTCCCCACACCAGGCTTGATGACCCGTCCCGCCGGCCAGGTTATTCGAGGGTCTCGAGGAGGGTCCACCTGTAAACCAAAGGGGGGAGAGGGAAAGGAGACCAGGCGCATAGAGAAGACAGAGTCAGTCTGAGTCGCGTCAAGGTCTCGTTTATTTTTTTTCTTTTTTTTTTTTTTTTTTTGGTTTTTCGAGACAGGGTTTCTCTGTGTAGCTTTGCGCCTTTCCTGGATCTCGCGCTGTAGACCAGGCTGGCCTCGAACTCAGAGATCCGCCTGCCTCTGCCTCCCGAGTGCTGGGATTAAAGGTGTGCGCCACCACCGCCCGGCAAGGTCTCGTTTATTGACTGGGTATTGAGGTTTATAAGCAGGGCTTCAGGCAGGGAGGGGGAGCAGGGGAAGCAGAGAGAGAAGAATGAAAAATTCCTGAGGAAGGGTGAGGTCGCTTTGGTCCCAGGCCCCTGCAGCTAACTGATTAGCACGTACTCCAGGAAGTTGTACAGCCCGAGGTTAGGCCAGGAACTTCCTGCTTTCGTAAGGTTTGATAAAGCAAGGAAGGTCACACAAAGTTCAAGACACAGCTGTCCGGGGGTCGGCCCCCAACAGCTTGAGATGTTTGTCCTCTGTTTTATGCCCTGTACTGATTCCCCCGTCCACTCCCATGCCTCGGTGGCACCACTTCTTTAAACTCCACAGGTCTCTAGTTTCTGCCTGGAAAGCCTCTGTGTGTCCATCTAGTAGAGGCTGGGCAGGTCTGCAGGATGACCTCTGGGAAGTCTTCTGGAGTCACGCTACCTGCTATGGTCATGAGAAGCCAGAGAACTGAGCCCCCATGCTTCCTTTATCTGCTGGTCCACATACAGAGGAATGTGGGTCAACTACACTTGTGTCAGCCAGCATTCCATTGCTGCAACAAAATGCCCAGGATTATAAGCTTGCAAAGAGGAAAAGTTCATTGTCTCTCACTGTTCAGAGGTTCCAGTCCGTGACCAGTGGACCCCGTTGCATTGAGCCTTTAGCGGCATGATGCTGTAGGATGTCTTAGTGGGAGCAAGTAGCAAAAGAGGCTTGTTCACCTCATGGCCGAGTATGAAACAGAGAAAGGGAAAGAGACCAGGCCTCCTCCAATACTCCCATCAAGGGCAAGTCTTCAGTGACCTAGGACCTGCTACTGTACCCCTCCTTGTTAAGTCTCCAGCACCTCCCCTTAGTCCCACCCTGGTCCTGCTGGGGGATATCTTTCTGTAGGCTGTGAATATGTGTGGCTCCCATTGGATAATAAAGAAAGCTATTTTGGCCTATGGCAAGAAAGCTTACAGCCAGGCAGGAAATCCAAGCAGAGATACAGAGGAGGGTGGAGTCAAGGGAGACAGCAGCCCACCACCTAAGGATCAAAAGATGCCAGCAGACCAGTAATGCCATGGCCACATGGCAACATATAGATTAATAGGAATGGGTTAATTTAAGATGAAAGAGCTCAGGCTGGAGAAATGGCTCAGAGGTTAACCTCACTGACTGTTCTAGAGGTCCTGAGTTCAATTCCCAGCAACATGGTGGCTCATAACCATCTACAATGAGACACGCAGACAGAACACACTGTATACATAATAAATAAGTAAATCTTTAAAAAAAAAAAGATGAAAGAGCTAGCTAGCAAGAAGCTGAAGCCATACGCCATAAAGTTTATAATTAATATAAGCCTCTGAGTGATTATTTTATAAATGGCTGTGGGGCTATGGAACGGCAGAGCTGGGCGGGACCTAGAAACATCTCAGTGACATGGTACCAAGCCTTAGGAGGATATTTTGGAACTATCCCACAGCACAGTGACACAAAGTCCTCCTCAGAAATCTCACTTGGTGGGCTGTCGAGATGGCTCCTCAGGAAAAAGCACTTCTATGCAACCTTGACAACCTGAGTTCGATCCCTGGCACTCTCTTAGAAAGTAGGGTGTGGTGGTGCCTGTCTGTAACTCTAGCACTCTGACTGTGAGACAAGAGGAAAGACAAGAGAATCTCCTGGGACTTCAGGCCAGCTAGCTTGGAGTATGAACCAGCTAGCCTGGAGTGTGAGCCAGCCAACCTGGAGTATGAACCAGCTAGCCTGGAATGTGAGCCAGCAAACATGGAGTATGAGTCAGGTGAAAACCAACTTCAGAGAGCTAACCTGATTCCACATGTGTGCTGAGGTGTATGGGTGCCCACTGGTGGGGCATTTGCCGCATATACACAAGGGGCCTGTGTTATAACTCAGCACAACAACAGTAACAACAATAAAACAGTGTCCCACCTCCCCAACCTCACTGTTTCCAATTGTTGATGGATTACTGGAAGAAAGCACTCCCTCCCTGCCTCCCACCCCCACCACCCCCTCCCCCCCCCCATACACATGTACGTGTGTATGCAAGTGCACATGCACATACACGGTTCTCCCTCAAGTGAGAATAAATTCCCAATATGATTAAGCAAAGAGTTTAGAAATTCTGCTCTAAGCTGGGGCATCCTGGACAGTCTATAAATGAAAGTTTCAGTGGGGGTCAGAGTTTGAAGACTGAACACTTGCTTGATAACCCGGGGTCCATCCCCAACTCTGGAAAGAAGTATGTTAGGGAACTAAAAGAAACTTTTAGAAGTCACTGTATCTTTTGTCCTTGGACCTCAAGTCAGCAATCCAGAAAACAACAAAACAAAACAACAAAACAAACATCCCAACCATTCATTGCACAAGGCTCCCTGGGCTTTGAAAATTTTGTTTTGCATTGTTTTTCAGTGTCTTGATGAGACACCCAGGCTGGTCTGTCCACTGCGTGGGGCCAAGTGATCCTCCCACCTCGGCCTCCAGAGCAGCTGGGACTTCAGGCACGTTCCACCAAGGGGGGCTTGGTGGCCACTAAGTATCATCAATGCCACAGTGACTGCTCTGGGCAAAGTGAAGCGTCCATGTCAACCTAAAGCCTTGTATGTGTTATGCCCAGATCGCAGGGACCCCCAAAAGACCACCACGGAGACCGAATTCCACATGTAAAAGCAAAGAGCCTTTATTTCAAGCTCCAGAGCTTGGTTCCTCTGTCTGTCTGACACAGCAGTGAGAACAGAGGGCCCTGAGCTCAGGTGGGGCAGAGTTTTTATCATAGCAGAGGTTGGGGGTGAGGGGATTTCCTGGGTCCAGGGCCCTGATTAGCTGACAATTGTCTGGGGGTATTTGTAAAACAAAAAATAGGTGTGTTCTAGACTCAAGGATGTCTGGCCACCTTATCTAATGGTTGGAATGTTTGGCTCTTCCTCATCCCTGGGTGGATCCCTGGGTGGTATCAACTTCAGGCTTTTCCTGGATCTGGGTGTTGCCTGCCAGTAAGCCTGTCACAGAAGCTGTGTCTAGGCCCCTAAGCCTGTCATGGCTGCTGTGTGGTCAAGCTATTTTGGGGCCCCTTCACAATATGGAGATCTAGTAAAGAGCCTGGGCCGTGTGCTTGCCCTACATGTACAAAGCCTTCAGTTTGATCCACAACACCACAGGGACTAGGCGTGGTGGTACACACCTGTAATCCCAGCACTCAAGAGTAGAGGTCATCTTCAGCTACACAGAGAGTTCAAGGCCAGCCTGGGCTACTTAAGACCCTGTCTGAAAACAAAACAAACAATATCCCCACCTGGTCCTGAGCTTCACAGTGATGCAACTACTCTGATAAATAATCGAAGATCCTTCTAGAAGGACCTGTTTTGTTTTTTTTTTCCCCAGAGGTGAGGACCAAACCCAGGACCTTGCGCTTTCTAGGCAAGCACTCTACCACTGAGCTAAATCCCCAACCCCAGAAGGACCTGTTTTCATAGCTCCCCTTCCTCTTGGTGCTAGTATTGAGTTCATAGATGTTATTCTCACAAATAACAACTTTGATTCAGTTTAGTTACCCATTCGCATTCAATTTCAGGGGTGGTTGGAAACATTTCTGAATTGTATGGAGTTGTGTGTTCCCCTGTAGGGACCCTGGTTCTGTCTTAAGCAGTACCTATGGAGCCCAGAAGACTTGAAGGAGCCTATAACAGTGTCTGGTTTAGTTACTAAGTCTAGTTCTAGTTCAAGATGACTAATGGCATTATCAATTCTGTCTTTTTCTTTTTTAAATCCATTTTAGGGCAAAAAGTTTGCAACTTACGTAGTTGCTTCAGGACTTCAGTATGGAGTGGAAGGAGGGATCCTACACGCCTTTTTTAAGGTCTGGCTTTTCAATGACTGGGAGAACTTTTGTTGTTGTTGTTAATTTAATTTCACTTTCAAATTAGCTTACAAAGTAACAGTTTCCTCACCCCATATCCCTGCCCTCATCCTCACTTAAGACCTAAGACTCTGTGGGTTCTTTGTTGTCATTTGATTTATTATTATACGTGTGTGTGTGTGTGTGTGTGTGTGTGTGTGTGTGTGTGTGTGTGTGTGTGTGTACCGTGTGTGTTGTGGCCTGCGCATGCCGCAGCTCCAGTGTGGGGTCAGAGGACCGCTTTGCGGAGTGACGGTGCCACAGGTGTTTACCTGCTGAGCCGTCTCATCAGGCCACTGTGTGTATCTCAAACGATGTTGTACAAGGCAGGTGTGGGGATAGGACTCAGCAGGCAGGAGGATTGAGAGTTTGAGGCCAGCCTAGGATATAATGTAAAACCCTGTCACAGGAAAGGAGGGGAGAGGAGAGGAGGGGAAGGGGGAGAGGAAAGGGGAGAAAGGACCAGGAGGGAGGGAAAGGGGTGGGTTCAATTCCCAGTGTGTGGTGGAAGGAGAGAACCAATTCCCACAGATTAGCCTGACTTCCACACTAGTACTTTGGCACACATTTTTTTTTTCTCTCTCATACACACACACACAATAAAAAAAATTTAAATGTAAGGAGAAAGTTCATAAGCAGATCTGACTGTCTTCACAAATTTGTTTTTTTTTGTTGTTGTTGTTGTTTTGTTTTGGTTTTTGGTTTTTTTGAGACAGGGTTTCTTCTGTGTAGCTTTGCGCCTTTCCTGGAACTCACTTGGTAGCCCAGGCTGGCCTTGAACTCACAGAGATCCTCCTGGCTCTGCCTCCCGAGTGCTGGGATTAAAGGCGTGGGCCACCACCGCCCGGCTCAAATTTGTTTTATTGAGATAAAAGGTGAAAAAGTTAAAAACCAGTCAAGGAGGAGATGCAGCCTGGATCTCTGCTATGATCTTGGAGGCAGTCAGCATAAGGAATGCATCTAAACCATGGGCCTGGCTACCTCACCTGGAGAGGCCACCTGGACAAGGGAAAGGGATTGGGAATGGGGTCTGAGGACACAGGGAGATGGGAGAGAGGACCCAGGAGGGAAGTGGGAAAAGATTGTACACGGTGAAGATCCATCCAGAAATAAAAGTTTCTTGTTAGCTCACATATTGCGGATCGTTAAGATGAGGTCTAACAGTTGACAAGTAGATTCTTATTGGGCCAGGAGGACAAAAGTTTGAGAAAGAGATATCCAAGAGGGACAGCCAGAGGCTGGGCATGGTGGCACTTCTGGAGCCCTCTGACTGAGGTGGATATGGGCTGTGAGGGAGAAAAATGCCAGGGCAAACGCTCTCTGCTTGTCTCTCTTTCAGATGGCTTGGCTGGGCGAGATTCCTGCACTCCCTGTTTTTGGAGATGGATCCAATGTCATTCCAGCCATTCATATTCTTGATCTAGCAGGGTAAGAGGTCTCCCGGAAGTGTGACTGTCCTGGTTGATTAATAAGTGTAATTAATCTTCAAAGTCATAACGCCGAGACCCTCACATATATTGCTGAATTCATTCCTCACAGGCCCCATGCAGAAGGCACTTAGCACCACCATTTTGTGCCGGATGAGACGTTGCCCACCCAAAGTCTCCACACTTCTGATCACACTCATAGCTTCATCTCTTAGGGACTCCTTCAGCAGAAAAACAGCTCTGGAGAAAAAGGGTTTGGGGTGCACATTCTGAGTAACCCGTTTCTTCTTCCCCTTTTCTCAGACAAGATAGGTGTCAATGTCATGCCGACTGCCAAAGTTCCAGAAACGAGTCAGCCGACTGTGAGCCTGAAAACCCCAACCTCCTTGGAGACAGAGTCTTAGTCTGTAGCTCATCCTCCTGCCTCAGCCTCCCCACTGCGAGGAATTCAAATCGAATACAAGTCTAACAAGGAAATAAGAAAACAGTCTATCCTAAGGCCTGTGAACACGGATTCCAGTTCCCCTAAGTGACGGGTTGGGCAAGGGAAGAGGTCGCATGGGCTTTCATAGCCTCAGAACAAAGGAAATCATAAATCAGCATATTCAATAAGTACACTGTTCCTGAATTAAACAGGTGACAGGAATATTTTTTAAAATAACTTTCCTATAGTGAGCCGATGTTATCTTACAGTTACCTTTGTTGTAGGGTTGGAGAAGGCTAGAGATCAGTCCAGCCTAATGACGCATTCCACTCCAGGAGGCTTACCTAATAGACACGAGAGTCTTACGATACAGAGGTGAAAAGTGAATGGCTGTTTCTCTCCCAAGGGCCTGAAGAAACTTTAGCTCTGGATGTGCAACATTCCAACCCATGTCAGGCCCCACATGGTGCTTTCTGCCCGGCAGGGACAAGTCCACAGGCTTTTCACACAGAGGTGGTCTCTTCTGAGCCCTTCAGCCTCACACTTGACCTGAATTCCCCACACCCCACAAGGCTTCCAGCCCAGCCCAGGTGATACTGATCCAAGCAACAGGGTGGGTGGGCGGTTCACTGCTCTTGGAATACCAGCCTCGTGTTTTCAACAGCCAGGGTGCTGCTCTGCCCTATGCGCTGGTCTCCCAAAGGGCTGGTTCCAGAGTCCCAGATTTTTCCTCTCTCGTGGGTGGAAATCATTCTGGACACACAGACTGAACTTCGGGGCCACAGCTCTGTGTGGGTCCCTCTGTGCCCTGAACCAAAGAGATTTCTGTTATTATTCTGAAAGCAGGGTCCCTGAAATGGTATTAATTCCAGACTTCACATCATATACATCCAGCCCATCAGGCGGTGCATGCGTATGACCCCAGGAGGAAGAGTTCAAGACCAGCCTGAGATACATAGCGAGTTTCAGGCTAACCTGGGCTAGATAGCAATATCCTCTCTTATCCCCCCATCCTGAAAAAAACAAAAACAAAAAACCTAGATTTGCCCCAGTCAACATTAACTTGAAGAAAGAAGTGGTCAAATGTGCCTTCTCATCACAGAACTTTTCATTATGTCACCAGGGTTTTTGTTGTTGTTGTTTTGTTTTGTTGGTTTTTTTGAGACAGGGTTTCTCTGTGTAGCTTTGGAGTGTCCCAGAACTCTGTAGCTCAGGCTGGCCTTGAACTCACAGAGATCCACCTGTATCTGCCTGAGTGCTGGGATTAAAGGCGTGCGCCACCACGCCCAGTTAATATCTTACTTATAAGCAGATAAGTTACAGGATGGTTTTTCTTCCCCTTTTTTGGCACTATGGAAGGACTTTGGGCCCTTTTCAGTAACATTTTCTCTCTTCCTGCATATTTCTTTGAAGACTGTGGATTATTTAGCAGAGGAAAGATAGCTAGAAGCTACAATCCTCTGAGATGTTAATATAAAATAGGTGTGAAATGAACATTCATGATTAATGCTTTTTTTGTTTTGTTTTTCGAGACAAGGTTTCTTTGCAGCTTTGCGCCTTTCTTGAAACTCACTCTGTAGACCAGCCTGGCCTCGAACTCACTGAGATCCGCCAGCCTCTGCCTCCCAAGTGCTGGGATTAAAGGCTTGTGCCACCACCGCCCGACTATTATTGCTTCTTTTTTCATTTCCAGTGCCAGAGGTAGAACCCAGGACCAGGCATGGGCTAGACATGCCCTCTACCGTGAGCTAAATGAGCAGTTAGAGGTGCACACTTGCATTTCCTTTTCCTGAAGAGGAAGCTAAGGGCGAGGGTAGAACCAACGGGCCACTGCAGTAGACTTCTAATCCCTGTTGTTTCTAGAAATCCATAGATCTGCTCAGACCCCTGCTCTGCCTCTCACCATGAGGTCTCTCATTATCAAATGAGGACAGTCCCAGCAGCGGTCTGACAGGGTTGTTGTGAGGATTCCATGGCACCCACCTGTGAAGCCCTTGGCAAAACAAAGTCCAGGAGCAGCCAGAAGCACTGTCAGTCACTGATTCAGATCACCCCCACATGACTTCACCTCAGATCACCTCTGCATGACTTCACCTCTGCATGAATGACTTCACCTCCGCATGACTTCCTTGCGACAGCTGCCATATCTTGAATCTGTGTCTCACTTTGCAGATCACTGAACCCAAACACAGTTGTGAGACTCACGTGAGCCACTGGGTGGACACGCCTTCCTGATGAGAGTCACGGTCAGGTCTTCTTAGAGTTGGGGTGGTACACTTAAAGAGACCAGGTTGTACCTGGGTTTGTGGTCCTGTAATGCCAGTTACCTGGGAGGCTGGGGCATGAGGATCAAACATTCAGGGCCTTCCTGAGCTACATAGCAAGTATAAGGCTAGCCTGGGGAATTTAGTGAGATTCTGTCTCAAAATAAATAAAATATAGAAAAGAAGAGGGCTGGGGATATAGTAGGTCAGTGGTAGCATGCCTGCCAGCATGTGCAAGACCTTGAGCTCAACCCCTAGTGTAATAAATAGTAATAATGATGATGATAACAATAATAATATAAAAAATGAAGCAAAGAAATAGAAAAATATGCAAGGAAGAAAACAGGTTCGCGTCCAATGTATCTGTCTGCAGATCTGGCTCTGTCCTAGAAATTATTTAGTCTGGGAAATGTTGCCTAACTTCTTAACCACCTCTTCATCTGTAGACTGCAGATATTGCTCCTGCCTCTGATCTTGGGGAACATTAAGTGAGTCTGCTTATCAAAGTACCAAACACCTGCCCGGCCTATGGGGTTGAGTTCCGTTTATCTCATTGTCTTTCCTGTCTGATTATTGTGCCCGTTGCTCTACAGAGTGATACAGAACGTCATAGACCACGTGCCGAAGCTTCACTACCTGGTGGCTGTGGACGAGTCTGTCCACACCCTGGAAGACATTGTCAAGGTACAGTGGTCTGGGTCCTCATACCCCTGTGACCTAGCTTAAATAGTTCTACCCCGTAAATGACAGTTACTGACTTCCTTGTGCTAACAGGGCTTGGGAACACATAATGTAGAAGGTCCTTAAACCTCAAACTGACTATCTGAGGGGGCTGGAGAGTTGGTTCAGGGGTTAAGAGCACTGGCTGTTCTTCCAGAGGACCCTGGTTCAATTCCCAGCACCCACAGCTCACAGCTGTCTGTAACTCCAGTTCCTGGGGATCTGACACCCTCATATGGACATACATTAAATAAAAAAATCTTTTTAAAAATTTGGTGATCTGTAGCTTCAGCCTAAGTGTTGGGAAATTACTACCCAAATAACCTTTGTCCAGTACGTGCACATGAGAGCAAGAAAGACTACCACTGGGTCCAGGATGACGTACACAAACGACATCCTGGAATCTGTGGACACTTGGCCTGCAGGACTGATAGAGACCAGATCACCAAACCGGCACTTCAAGGCTCTCTAGACAAAGGTCCGGCAGCTCCAAATAGCACAGCAGCTTCATAGCTTAGCTGGCTGAGCTGCTGTGGCCTCCTCTGACCTTTGCCCTCCTTCTCTGTACTCACCGGTAAGATTCAGATCCAGGATCTTCCTCTGCGGCCTTCCTGCCTTCTTCTCATGTCCCTCTCAGATCGAGTGTCCCCAGCCCCTCTGTAAAAATATTATTACATTATTTAATATGCATCATGCACATGCATGACACCGTGCACATGTAGAGGTCAGAGGACAACTTCTGGGAGTGGGTGTTCTTCCACCAGATGGATCCCAGGGACTGGGCTTAGGTTGTCAGGCTTGGTGGCAAGTGCGTTAACTAACCCAGAGTTGCCTCTCCTCCATGTACCTTCGTTTGTGTGGGGTGCTGTAACAGAAGACACATACTAGCCAACTAGAGCTGGGCATGGTGGTGCACACCTTTAATCCCAGCACTCAGGGGCCAGAGGCAGGCGGATCTCTGTGAGTTTATGGCCAGCCTGGTCTACAAAATGAGTTCCAGGATAGCCAAGGTTGTTACCCAGAGAAACCCTGTCTGAGAAAAACAATACACACACACACACACACACACACACACACACACACACACACACACACACACACACACACGGCAGGTCAGGAACCATGGGAATATATTGCTCATGGGGGCTACAAAGTCCAGGGTCAAGTGTTGGCAGATTTGGTGGCTGGTGAAGGCCTCATAGACTGCATACCTCTGTGCACTTCACATGGTAGAAAGAGACAGGGAGGCTGGTGGTGGCGCACACCTTTAATCCCAGCACTCGGGAGGCAGAGCCAAGCAGATCTCGTGAGTTCAAGGCCAGCCTGGTCTACAGAGTGAGATCCAGGACAGACACCAAAGCTACACAGAGAAAACCTGTCTCGAAAAACCAAAACAAAAAAAGAGACAGGGAATTCTCCCGAGATCTTTTATGAGGGCACTCCTTTCCACTCCCTTCCTTCCCCATCATGATCTGGCACCTCCCCTCAGCTTCTCACACCATCACCTTGAGGGTTAAGATTTCAATATGTGAAGGGGAGGGGAGGAGAGAGGAGGGGAGAGCACATCCAGACTGCCTAAAGATAAAATTACTGGCAAATTTGTTGATAGAACTAATTGGCTTTTATTCTTAATTCATGAATTTGGGCAATGAGCCCCCACTGAGCAAAGACAGAATAGTAGGATTTGAAAGTCGTCACCCCCCCCCACACACACACACACATACATCCATTTACCCACCTGCACACAGAACAATAGAAAAAAAGCTGTCTGGGTAAAGGGGTCACCTAAGACCATTGGAAAACACAGATACTTACATTATGATTTGTAATAGTAGCAAAATTACAGTTATGTGTAGCTAGAGTTTTCCTGCCTGGCCCACAGTCAGGACAAATCTCTGTCACCCTCCAGTCCCACAGCTGCTCAGACCCAACCAAGTAAACACAGAGACTTATATTGCTTACAAACTGTATGGCCATGGCAGGCTTCTTGCTAATTGTTCTTATATCTTAAATTAATCCATTTCTATAAATCTATACCTTGCCATGTGGCTCGTGGCTTACCAGCATCTTCACATGCTGCTTGTCATGGCGGCAGCTGGCAGTGTCTCCTTCCTCTGCCTTCCACTTCCCAGAATTCTCCTCTCTCCTTGTCCTGCCTATACTTTCTGCCTGGCCACTGGCCAATCAATGTTTTATTTATACAGAACGATATACACAGCAGTTATGAAATAGCAATGAAAATAATTTTATGGTTGGGGGTCATCACAACATGAGGAACTGTATCAAAGGGTCACAGTATCAGGAAGTTGAGAACCACTGCTCTAAAGGTTAAAACAAAAGGAATTTCCAGTTTTGGGGAGGAAAAAAAACGGTCTGCTGTGGGATATGTCCCTTGGGGGATGTGCTCAGCATCCTTAGGTTTCATTTGCTTATGTGACCCTTAGCTTGAGTGACTCCATCTTGTTCTGGTCTGTTGGGGCTAGTGCAGGAGCTCAGTCTAAAACACTGGGCCCATCAAGTATGTAGTAGACAGTAGCACAGACTCCCTTTGCTGGACTGCAGACACCCACAGGACAGTGATCTGGCACAAGTCTGTCTCCTTTCTGGAACTCGGTGGACCCTGATGGCAGAGACCAAGCCTTGCTCATCTTTGCTTCCCAGTGTTTTCAGAACCCATCAGTGAGTGGATGCTCTGTGGACTATTTTGAAAATGCCTCTTAGTATGTGTTCTTGGTAATGTTCACATTAACTTGAGAAGTTTTATGTAAAACCTTGTAAGCAAACCAAATAATACCTCTGTTTCTCCCTAATAGTGCATCAGCAAAAATACTGGCCCTGGAAAAATCCAGAAAGTACCCAGAGAAAATGCTTTTCTAACAAAGGACTTGACAGTCAGTATAAAAAAATTATTTTTTTTTTCAAAAATTGTCTTCCTAAATAATATTGAAGGAGCAGAATGGGGTGGGTGGGGGTTGTGGATTAGAGAGACTGTTTCCCTCTATACTTAATTTTTGGGGAGTTAACCATGAGGTGGCATTATTCAAAAAAGTAGATGCTAGCTGATATGGCAATGAGTGCTTGTAATCCCCACACTCAAGCAGTAGAAACAGGTGGATCAAGAGTTCAAAGGCATATAATTAGTTCTAGGCCAGCCTGGGCTATGTGAGACCCTGTCTCAAACAAACAAACAAAATAAAGGCAAAACATACACATTAAACAATAAAATGTTTTGAAGGGCTAGAGCCAGGCTTGATGGGCACATACCTGTAACCCCAGCTACTAGGGAGACTGAGTCAGGAGGATCTGAATCCATGGCCAGCCTGGGTTACAGAATGAGCTCAATGTTAGCCTGCACAACTAAGTGAAAGCCTTAATCAAAATAACAAACCGAAAGAAGGCTGGGGAGTTAACTCAGTGGAGTGCTGCCTCTCATGTGTAAGGCATTGGCTGAAACACCACACAACAGAGTGGCAGTCTCAGAACGCTAAGGGTGGAGCTGAGTTGTGAAACGCTTGCTTAGTATAAGCAAGGCCCCTGGATTCCCTTGCCAGCATTGAGGGTGGGGTGGGGGCAAGGATAGGCATGGTAGTATATAACTGTGATTCTAGACTTGGGGATTGAAAACAGAAGAATCAGGGGCTGGAGAGATGGCTCAGTGGTTAAGAGCACTGACTGTTCTTCCAGAGGTCCTGAGTTCAATTCCCAGCAACCGCATGGTGGCTCAACCACTTGTAATGTGATCTGGTGCCCTCTTCTGGCCTGTAGGGACACATGCAGGCAGAATATTGTATACATAATAAATAAATAAATCTTTAAAAAGAAAACAGAAGAATCAAGAGTTATCCTTGGCTACATAGTGACTTCAAGGCTAACCTAGGCTAGTGAGTCCCTGTCTTAGAAATGAATGATGAATGAGTGGAAAGGGAAGGGAAGAGAACTGGAAGAGAGTCTTAGCTTGGACTTCCAGGGTCTTCTTATTCTTGAGCTGTTTGTCCAACCAAAAGAAAAGCTTCCTGCAAATGGAAGGAACTAGAAAGAATCATCCTGAGCGAGGTAACCCAACCCCAGAAGGACACACACGGTATGTACTCACTCATAAGTGGATGCTAGATATCAAGCAAAGAACAATCAGTCTGCAACCCACAGAACCAGAGAGGCTACATAGCAGGGGGGACCCTAGGATGACTGTGACTCATAATAAGTTTTGGTTTTACTCAATCACTGGGCAAGCCTCAATGAAACACTTCACTATTAGGATAAGAATTTGTACTGTATCAAGCTGATAATAGGAATAAATAAATAAAATAATAGAGCTGGTGAGATCAAAATACTACTATTTCTACAGTAACGTCAATTATAAGTGGATTTGTACAGATCAATCTGGAACTAAAATTAGAAAAAGGAATGAATGTGAAACACCTATACAAACTCTATTCACAAATAATGTTATAAAAATAAGTACCATGCCAAAAAAAAAAAACAAAAAACTGCCTGCTCTAAAGGACAGATTTGAAGAGCCTTTAAAAATGTCTCAGGGCAGCTGGGTGGTACTGGCGCACGCCTTTAATCCCAGCACTCAGGAGGCAGAGGCAGGAGGATCTCTGTGAGTCTGAGGCCAGCCTGGTCTACAAAGCAAGTTCCAGGATAGCCAGAGCTACACAGAGAAACCTTGTCTTGAAAAGCAAAAATAAAAAAACAAACAAACAAACAAACAAACAAAAAATCCTCAAGGTTGAGGCTGGAGTTCATTGGTAAAAGAGTATAGGTAAGGCCCTGTCTCACCCCACCCCCCACCCCCAGTCCCGGGGACAATGACACGGGCATAAATAAACAGCAGGTGTTCTGTAAACACTTAGTGCCAGTTGGCTCTCCTGTTCAGTGAAGGGAACCTGGCTTTCCTTAACTGTAGCGATTTTTGTCTGATGGTAACAAGGCAAACCTCTGCTTTCCCTAACCCTCAGCAACTGCATCTCGACCACTTACTGGTCAACCTGAGGATGGAGGCGCTGTTTGTGAAGGAGAATTTCAACATCCGCTGGGTTGCCCAATCAGGATTTGTGGAGAACATCAGCAGCATCCTCAAAGAGTACAAGCAAAGCCAAGGATTATTGGTAACTATGGCCACTTACTGTTTTCGGTTTCTGATATAAGCAAAGTGAATAGAACTCACCGCCGGGACCTCTGTACCAACAGGAGTGTTTGCATTTTAAAACTTCCACACGGTTTGTTCACGTTCAACACGTTCCTCCAGTCTGCTGTAATCTGCATGTGTATTGCATTAAAACTTGTGAGCCAAACTTAAAAGAATTCAAAGTGAATATCAATAGTAACAAGCTGGTCGTATAAACAAATGAGTAGGTTGTTACTCTGTTTTAGTCCTGGATAAGGTCAACCTGCCCCAGGAAGAAGGATTCACTCTTGGTATACTGGCAAAAAGAGGCACACCAACCTGCCCAGCTGATAGCTGGCTCCAGGTGCTGGTGACTACACCAAGGCCATCTAGTGGTCCGGCGTTGCCCCTCATCCTGCCTCAATCACTGTTTGACATCTTGCTACTTACCTATCATCCCTCACCACAAGGGACCAGTCACTTAACTCACTGCACTCAGATCCACTCTTGTGTTCATGCTTATCCCTTCACGGGTGTCCTTGACCATCACAGGGTAACTGCAAAGTTCCGGGTGAAATTCTGTGACCTTAGGCATATGGACACAGCCAATGGAAATTCTTTCCATCATTGTGGTTCTAAAATATGACTTGCGCTGGGCGGTGGTGGCGCACGCCTTTAATCCCAGCACTCGGGAGGCAGAGCCAGGCGGATCTCTGTGAGTTCGAGGCCAGCCTGGGCTACCAAGTGAGTTCCAGGAAAGGCGCAAAGCTACACAGAGAAACCCTGTCTCGAAAAACCAAAAAAAAATAAAATAAATAAATAAATAAAATAAGATATGACTTGCAAAACTCTAGCCCATAGTTTCACAACTCTTTGGACCATTTTGAAAGAAATGACTATTTGTTATTGATATTTTTATTTCTGTTTGATGTAAATTTTCACTAACTGCTTATGAATGCCATAGCATCATCAATATTCAGGCAATTCTGCCTTCCTTCCTCCCTCCCTTCCTTTCTCCCTTCCTTCCTGTCTTCCTCCCTCCTCTCACCCTTCTATATTTTGTTTTTAAAACAAGATCTTGTGCTGTAGCCCAGGCAGCCTTGAAATCTCTAACCTTCTCAAACAGGAAAAAAGTAGTGTTTTTAACAAAATGATCAGGAGGCAGAAGCAAGATGTTCACAAGTTCAAGGCCAGGCTGGGCTACATAGTGAGAACTTGTCTGAAATAAATAAATGATAGATAGATAGATAGATAGATAGATAGATAGATAGATAGATTTTTTTTTAATCAAAATAAATTAACTTTATATTATTGAAGACCAAATTCAGTCCAAAGACAATCTAAATGATAATGTAGGGCCCTATATACTGGACCATTAATTCCTGTGTCTTCATAAGAATGGTCAAGGACAAATAAAACTGGTGGCATGTAAAGCCTAGGCACCTCTAGGCATTCCTGGGCACATATTTTCTCTCTTTTCTCTTTCTCTCCCTATTTCTTTTTTATTTATTTATTTTCAGACAGGGTCTCACATAACACACTCTGGACTCTCCCTCACTATGTGGTTGAGCCTGGCCTTGACCTCTTGATTATCTTGCCTCCACGTCTCAAGTGTTGGGTCGACTGGCATGTACCATCACATCCACTTGCTGAGCATGGCTTGTTGAATGTCCTCCCCCTACCCCACCCCCCGCCACCGACCCAGGTCAGAGCAGAGATGCCATTACATCCTCATGGAGTGAATGACTCTGAGCCACCCGAATAGGAGGCGGACACTTTCAGGATGATGAGGTAGTGACCACAGTAGCAGGGAGTGGAAGCAGAACATCTGGAGTCTGGTTGAGTTGCTGAAGTCAGACTCAGGGTCCAGAGACACTGAAAAGAACACAGTCCTGAAATAACACCCCTTCTAGCTCTGAGCCCTAAGACATGTGTTCTCTGTTCTTTTTTAGCCAATCAAGATCTGCATCCTTGGTCCTCCTGCTGTGGGAAAATCGAGCATCGCTGAAGAATTAGCCAAGTACTACAAACTACATCACATCAAAATAAAGGATGTGATTTCCGAAGCCATAGCCAAACTGGTAACACGTCCAGCTACTTCTCAGATACTCTTTCCATTCACAGAATGTGTTCCTGAGTAATAAGCAAGTGACTAACTCGGAATGTCAAAGAAATTGAGTATTTTAATTGGATTTTGTTGCTGGTCCCAGTTATGAAAATGGAGAACCCCGCAGGGCTCTCTGTCTTCTGTATGATAGAAGCGGTTGTAGGGCTATCCTTGGAGTTCTGCCTCCAGTCTCTCCCAAAGTACATCTTATCTTCTCTCTGCTGGCTAAAATATTTTTAGGTTAGCTTTGTTTTGTTTTTAATCTTATTGTATTTTTCTCTGTCTAGCATCAGGCTATTTACTATCTTTTTTTAAAAACAATTTTGTTAGGAATGATAGAAAACAAGGTATGTTTCCATAAATAGTTATAAAAGGTCATTTTGGGGATTGCTAGAGATCAAATCCAGGGCTTTGTACACGCTAAGCATGTGATAAGCATGTGATGTATCACTCAGCTACACCCTTAGTCTAAAAAATCTTGATTTTTATAAAATGTGTTTCTGTCAAGTAAGATACAATCTAGGTACTGGGGAGATAACCCAGCAGTTAAGGACACTTGCTCATAACCTCTTGTAACTCCAGCTCCAGGGGATTCAGTGCCCTCCTCTAGCCTCCATGGGTTCTGCGCTCATGTGCATGAACCCACACACAGACACACTCATATACATATAATTGAAAGTGGTCATGTAAGCCTTTAATCCCAGCACCCAGGAGACAGAGGCAGGCGGATAATTGTGAATTTGAGGCCAGCCTGGTCTACAGAGTGAGTTTCAGGACAGCCAGGGCTACACAGAGAAACCCAGCCTCGAAAAACAACAACAACAACAACAAATGGTGGTGCATGCCTTTAATACCATATGATGGGGAAGCAAAGACAGGTGGCTTTCTTCGAGTTCAAGGCCAGCCTGATCTACACAGGGAGTTCCAGGTCAGCAAGGGCTGGATAGTGAGACCCTGCTTCAAATTTTAAAAAAAATTTAAAAAAAAAAGGCATAATCTAGTGCCTTGGAGAATTGCTGACTCCCAGGCAGTTGTGGAGTTAACACCGAATATACTGCTGTTCTCCTAAAAGTAGAGTTAAGGAAAGCCTTAAGGCCCTTATCCATCTTGGTAGATGCACACGTCATGCAGACTTTTGCATGATGTCTGTTACTAGGTACACTCCCAACTTAGACTTTTTCCAGGATCACTGGCCAGACTGTTAGTGACACACTCATCGGGGTTGGGCACAGTCAACTTGATTATCCTTGTGGCATACAGGAGGCGATTGTTGCACCCAAGGAGGCAGTGGAAGGAGAAGAGGAAGGTGAAGAGGAGGAAGAAGAAGAGAACGTGGAGGATGCCCAGGAGCTCTTGGATGGCATCAAGGACAGCATGGAGCAGAACGCAGGTGATGCACAGATAGCCAATGGGGCAAGAGCTGTGCCAGGCTAGCACGGTAGTTGCTTTGGTTTTCAGTCTGGTTATAAAATGCTGCCTGTGGGCTGGAAAGATGGCTCAGTGGTCAGGAGCTTTGGCTGCTCTTCCAGAGGACCCCAGTTTGGTTCCCAGCGCCTACATACAAGTGTCACCACCCCCTGTAACTCCAGTTCCAGGGGACCTGATAACTTCTTCTAGATTCTACACATACTGCCCTCACATGCTCAGATGCACACTCAGACACACACATAAATAAAAACAAAAATAAAATCTTTCCTTTAAGCTGTCTGTTTGCAAAAGTGAAGTGCTATAGAAAATATAGTGACAATAAAAAATTCAGTTCATAATCTCATCTCTCAGAAAAAAATTATTGTTAATATTTTGGTAACTATAATTTCCTAATTAAAAGAAAAATCAGGAGTTGGCAGCGTAGCTCTGTGATAGAGTACTTTCTTAGTGTTCATAAAGTCTTTGGACCCCAGCATCACCAAAACATGAGCCCTCTTTAACATAGGGATTCTAGCATCATCCACAAAGCAAGCTAAGTGTAATCAGTGTTTGGGACTCCCACCTCGTCAGGCTCTTAAGTGGCCTTCTTGTTGTCTTGCCCTTTATTCTGCTCTTGCTGGTTTCTGTTTCGATGCTCCAGGGTTGGGTGGTGCTAAGTGGAGACCAGGTGACAGGGACATGGCATCCTCAGGTAGCAGAAGGCACTGGGAGCATGCTGCTCTTTTCTGTGTGGCCTTCCATGGACCAAGGCCCATGCCCTGTGTGTCCCGGGGCACAGACCCCGACTGCCCTCCTTGGTCCTCGAGGACAGTGGTTCTCAACCTTCCTAATACTACGACCTTTTAATACAATTTCTCATGTTGTGGTGATCCCCAACTATAAAAGCTATTTTCATTGCTACTTCATAACTGTAATTTTGCTACTGAAATGAATCATAATGTAAATATATGATATACAGGATATGTGATATTCAACCCCTGTGAAAGGGTCTTTCAACCCTCAAAGGGGTCATGACCCACAGGTTGAGAACCACTGCTGTAGAGATTTCTTCTGGAATACCACACCTTCCCAGCTAATCATGTCCACAGTAGTCGAGAAATAAAGGGAGTCCCCGGCCAGACACTTGACCTTGGGGTTCCAAACACAGCAGATCCCACTACATGCCCCGGAGGTAATAGCCCTTGTGAAAAGTTGGAGAAGGGTGTGCATCACACGGGCCGTTTGGGGAAGATTGAAAATGAACAGTTCATCTTATCTTCCAGCTACTGACACGACTTTATATAGAGAGGAACCCAGGGCAGGCAGAGGTATGTGTGGTTAAACAGCCTTGGTCTCCGTGTGGCCTGGCAGATGACCTATACTTGGGTTCTTTAGGATAGAATGTAGAAATCCTTGTCTCCAGAGAGACAAATCCATTCCCATGAAATGATGGCCTTTGCTTTGGGATGATCTCTAAGATCTGTCTGTGAGGTTCTACTGTTTCCAAACCCAAGGTGACTGCAGGTTCAGGACAACTCTTATCTTTGTATCCTCAGCCTTAGAAGGGGGTTGAGATAGTGTGGGTGTTGGTCGTTTTAGAGGGGTGCTTTGAATGGTTAGACACGTCTATCTGCGGAGTTCCACGGGAGTCTGACCTAAAGTACAGAAGACAGACGTGCAGCGAAGGTGGAGATGCCAGCCTCCTAGTCCTCTAAGTGCCTGCTGTCCCAGCTCTGGCACTGACTACATGACATCCTGGTCACCTGCATATCCCACCCAGGGGATGTGCCACTGCCCAAGGCCCTCTGATTGTTTGCAGAGTATATATTCTGGCTCCAGGCCTTGACTGTCCGTTCAGACAGTTACATGCCCTCCTTGCCCTTTGTTGTTGTTATTTTAAGTTTTTTTTTTTTTTTTTTTTTTTTTTTTTTTTTTTTTTTTTTTTTTTTGGTTTTTTGAGACAGGGTTTCTCTGTGTAGCTTTGCGCCTTTCCTGGAACTCACTTGGTAGCCCAGGCTGGCCTCGAACTCACAGAGATCCGCCTGGCTCTGCCTCCCGAGTGCTGGGATTAAAGGCGTGTGCCACCACCGCCCGGCTATTTTAAGTTTTTTTTTTTGGTTTTTCGAGACAGGGTTTCTCTGTGTAGCTTTGCGCCTTTCCTGGGACTCACTTGGTAGCCCAGGCTGGCCTCGAACTCACAGAGATCCGCCTGGCTCTGCCTCCCGAGTGCTGGGATTAAAGGCGTGTGCCACCACCGCCCGGCTTTATTTTAAGTTTTTTAAAACAGGGTTTCTCTGTGTAGCCCTGGCTGTCCTGGAACTCGCTCTGTAGACCAGGCTGTCCTCGAACTCAGAGACTCCCCTGCCTCTGTGAGTGCTGGGATTAAAGGCGTGTGCCACCACTGCCTTTAAAGCCTATGGCCCTTCTAGCCTTTGTCTTAAGTCCAGCCAGGTTACCTCTTTCTCTCTTGTCCTAAGCCAGCCTGATCTGGGAGAGAATGGGTTTGAACATAGATACCTAAGTGTTCACTTAAACAAGCTGACCTAATCTTGTTTCTGCTTTGCTGTGAGATAGCCCATGAGGAAAAGACCAACAGAGGTCCTTTCCCACCCATAGCCAGTAGGCTAAAGGCAACTAAGCCATTCCCTTCCTTAAGGAGCCTTACTGCAAATTGGAGTCCTTGTAAGATGGTATCCCAAAAGCAAATGGACTTGAATTTATAAATTTATAATTTTCAAAGCCAACGGAAATGTATATAACTATTGAATTAAATTTATCATGCCCAATAGAATGAAAGATTAACTAACTGTGGTAGCTACTTTTGCTGCCAGGGTCTCCACTGTGCTAGCTGTAGTAAGCAATTATGAAATGGTAATCCCAGAAACAGTAGCAGCGGTGTCTGCCACTGCTATAACAGTAACAACGGCAGCAGCAATGTCAAATTCTCTTTTGGAGTGTGTGGGCATCCACTGGCACGGATACAATTCCAGGAACACGAACCGCCAAGGCCCATTTTTCTTGATCCCAGCACGACTTAGGCTGGCAGTTATTCTGGAGAATCCAAAAGCATGGCTACAGTTCCTAGGCTTATGTTAATGCTTGCCAAAGCTGGCTATATTGGGCTCTCAATTCCCATTGGCATCAGAAGGGGAGAGTTTTTCATGAAGGCCCAATAGGTCCCTGTCATGTTGGGTTTCAGCAGCAGCCACAGGGCACACACAGCATTCAGGAATCCAAAGAGGAACCTCATTGTCCTGAGGAAAGATATAAACAGAACCCCGGGCCCACACCAACACCAGATCGGGTCTCCTCCAAGTGTTAGTAGAAAGATCCTTCCATCGCTCCAGAGGGTGATTTGCAACAGGAGACCTCCAGTGCTTATCTGCAGTGGATACTCCAGCAGAATCCACCGATAAAAAATTTTAAATATATAAAACAAGGGAAAGAATAGAATGTGGAGAGGAATGATGAGTCCCCAGTTCCCCCTTTTTTTACTCCAGCAAAATATGTTTGTTTGGCTCCTTTTTTTTTTTTGGTTTTTCGAGACAGGGTTTCTCTGTGTAGCTTTGCGCCTTTCCTGGAACTCACTTGGTAGTCCAGGCTGGCCTCGAACTCACAGAGATCCGCCTGGCTCTGCCTCCCGAGTGCTGGGATTAAAGGCGTGCGCCACCACCGCCCGGCTGTTTGGCTCCTTTTTAAACAGTTCAAATTTTTTTTCTTTTTTCTTTTTTTTTCATTTTTCACTTTTTCAAATTAATCAATTTATCCACCTTTCTATTACCAGCTTGATACAGTATGTATTCCCATCTTAATTGTGAAATGTTTCATTGAGGCTTGCTCAGTAATTGAGTAAAACCAAAACTTATTATAAGCCACAGTCGTCCTAGGGTCCTCCATGCTATATACATAGTCTCCATCGTTCTGTGGGTTGTAGTCTGATTGTTCTTTATTTTATATCTAGAATCCACTTATGAGTGAGTACATACCATGTTTGTCCTTCTGGGTTTGGGTTACCTCACTCAGGATGATTTTTTTCTAGTTCCATCCATTTGCCTGCAAATTTCATGCTTTCATTGTTTTTTCTCTGCTGAGTAGTACTCCATTGTATATATGTACCACATTTTCTTAATCCATTCTTCAGTTGTCGGGCATCTAGGTTGTTTCCAGGTTCTGGCTATTACAAATAGTGCTGCTATGAACATAGTTGAGCATGTATCTTTGTGGTATGAATTAGCGTTCCTTGGGTATATGCCCAAGAGTGTTATGGCTGGGTCTTGAGGTAGTTTGATTCCTAATTTTCTGAGAAACCGCCATACTGATTTCCACAGTGCTTGTACAAGCTTACATTCCCACCACCAGGGGAGAAGTGTTCCCTTTGCTCCACATCCTCTCCAACATTGACTGTCATTAGTGTTTTTGATCATAGCCATTCTGACAGGTGTAAGGTGGTATCTCAGAGTTGTTTTGATTTGCATTTCTCTGATGATTAAGGATGTTGACAATTTCTTTAAATGTGTTTTGGTGTTTTAAGATAGTCTTTCTCTATAGCCCAGGCTGTCCTCAAACTCACTATTCTTCTGTGTGGCCTCTCCCATTTGGTACCCCAATGCACACACCATTTCTACAAAATGAGAATAATTTATCAAATCTTCTCTCACTCTAGGAAGATCTTTGTTAATTTCTCAAGTGTGACAGGTAGCTTTAATTGTCAACTTGGCACAGCCTAGAATCACACTTGTGTCCATTTCATATCTTCCCTGTACATGGCTAGCATCTACTTTTAAACCCCATTTTAGTAATTATGAATGTGGGTTAATAGATGAGAGTCCTGATGAGGGATTCCCTAGATCAGGTTGGACTGTGGGTGAAGGGACCTGAGTGTTTTGGGGTGCTCCCCTCTGGACCCCGATGCAGACCACACCCAAAGACCAATTTGCAATCATAACTAAATGCAAAGAGATCCTTTATGAAGCAAGGCAAAGA